TCTGAGATATCAATAATAAAAGTGAAACAGATAAGATTGTTTATATGTTTTTATTGTCTTGTGTACGTAACATTGCAAAAAATATCTCATTCAGCTTCAAACGTCGTGTTCTATTACAGTAAAAGATTACATACCAAAGTACAACAGTATGTTATGCAGAATTGTCTACAGTGTGTTGTCGTCATATAGACTGCAAATTATATGCATTGTGAAACGTGACTATTTCAAAATATTCGTAGGTTAATTCATAGTTCGTATTCCTTCCTGAAGTGAGTATACATGGCTACTCCTTTGCTTAACCTTCAGGTAATATGTTAGAAATATTGGTTTTTTCCAAGGAAGTACGTACGAAATATTTTAAATTACCTTTAAAATAAATTACAAAATTTTATCATACTTACCACGTTTTGTGTGTAATCCAGTGTTGTAAGCATGACAAGCTACACTCCAGATCTTGGCAATGACACAAATTCAACATTACCTTCTAGAACAACGTTGATTGTTAAATAAACAAATAATTTGTATTTAACAGTTATCTCACTTCCTACTATATTGTATCAGCAACGTAATGTATATTTTCATCTCATTCTGTTTGTTTGTGTTTCCTAAATAATACGTTACAGGTTTTGCTCCTTTTTGAACCACATCATTTAAGATGAAGCGTATCGATGTTCGTCAAATTTATCGTCATATAAATCAGAGGATGAACTTTAGAGGGAATCAATATTTTACGAGCTATTTTTGTGGTAAACTTGTGCTCGTATAAAGATGTGTTTTTGTGTCTTCGTACTTCAGACGTGGATTAATGTCGTGATAGCGAGATAATTGGGATTATAACATTGATGGCCGACGTGACGATTATGAACGAACATTCCCTTAACTTATTACTTCATTATCAGTAACACTTATCTTTGCAACGGAAATCTTCTTTATTTATAGTACTCAGTATTAGTAAAGTGGTTTATTCACCTGGAAATAGCATTTTATCGTTTAAGTGACGTTTAGATATAATAAGAAAAAAGAAAAATAGTGCAAGTAAGAAGTAATCATCAAACACGACAGAAATAGGTACGATACATTTGTCAATTTATTCAACAACTACATAATGCTAACGTCGACAGTAAAGTCAGTCAGTCACCGACAAATCTTTTTCCAAAAAAAGAGCACATAGTATGCTGAGTACTTAATTACTACACCATTTAAAATTTCATAGGTCTATTGAGACATATCGTTATGCCTGCTTTCTATTGCGTAATTGGGGTAGGCAGAGACAATAGAACGCCAAACGACACAATTCTGGCATATATCATTTTCGCTTTATCTACCTCTACATTCATCAATCTCTCCATGCATGCACGTTGATTAGGGGGGCTTTTAATTTGAGCCTTTTTCAATAAATCGCCCAAATGATTGAAGTATGTCCGTCAAGGTCGCCCTCTACCGACTTTCCCAGTCATGTTCGCTAGACACACCACTTTCATAAATGACCTAACATCCATCCTTTCAATACACATAAAAACAAAGTACATTGTTTATTTAATATTTACAAAATACAAATATAATTTACGTGCCCGTAATAAACATACGGATTCCGAAATATTATGTTCACATCTTTCCGTCGCGGTCGCTATGATTAATTGCCCGGATTAGCTATGAAATATTAAAGGCATAATTTCCTTACTTATCTTCACACCACGTTAGCTTACGTACGTGGCATTGTTTTAGACAAGTGACAAAGAAATGAATTAAATAAACGTTAAATACAGTAAAATGAACCTTTATTCGCCAATTAGTGCGGCAGGCAAGGTATACACTAGATATTCACTGAATATGTTAAATACTTATACTAGATCCTTTTCCCTTTAAGCTAGACTTATTCCTAGGCTTTAGTGTTTAAGCTAAACAAGAAACATGTACAATTCCCACGTTTCAAAAATTCAGGTCAAAAATGGTTGCCTGGAAGAGATTGCTGCTTGCGACTAGGTCACTCACTATACAACAGATGCTGTAGATGTTTACGTTTATAACTAACTAATGTAACTTTGAATGGTATATTATAGAAAATAGTTTATCTATTTATTTATTTGTCGAATGTCGTGATGACCCGGAGGTTAAAGACGCGCCCGCTTCTTATGCCTGAGGGCGCGGGTTCGAAATCTACCAACGGCAAATACCAATGTAACTTTTTCCGACTTATATGTAGGTACTTTCTAAGATTATTTTTTTCTAAGACACCACGGACAAATGATGATGGAAAACATCGTGAGGAAACTCGGGCTTATAATTTCCAATTATACATATATAAGTTTGATATTAACGTTAATTCGCATTGAGCAAGCGTGGTGATTAATTTTTAAACCTTCTCCGTGTGAAACGAGACTTTCAGTCAGCAGTGGCCACATATAGACTGTTGGTGTGATTTTTAATCTACAGTTTGTTTGAAATTGGTGTAATATACAAGTACATACATTATTTTGAATAAACATATTCAAGAATACCTAAAACGTATAGAGTGATCCCACAAATACCCGCAGTTTATCTTTACCTCAACAAAACCTGCGTGTTCCCACAGTTTTGCCGTCAAGTAACATGGTTTACACCACAGAAACAGCGATATACACACATGAAAAAATATTGTGTTGTAAAAACATTATTTTAATTGCACTATTCGTTACTACCTCGACATTGGAATGATCTGCTTGTTTATTTTATACATAAATATGGGGTGGTTGAACTCTCTTATAATAGAAATGAATTGAAATTTACTTAAGTTCCGCGAAACCCACAATTGATTTGATTGGAAACCAGGAATTTAAAAAATGGTGTGCGGTACTTAAATTTAATTTAGTACCATAATATTCACTTTCAAAGTTCGTTCTTAGTTGTAGGTCTTACATAATCATTTTAATTTAAGGTACTCGTAAATCCCATGTCCTTATAATAGTGGGAGGCAGATAGAAATCTTTCCATGTAAAATTCGAATCTGTTAGAGCTCAATGCCGACTCCAATCTATTTGGGAAAAGGTCACGAGAAACAGCACGCTGGACTGGCACGGATTACTGAAGTGTTTAGAGAATAACAACAGAACAAAAATATTAATTTAATTCATACTGCTTACAGTAATTTATCATGCAATCGACTTCTATCAATATCGATAATCGAGTCAGTCGTCAACTCGATTTGTGCTCTCCCAAACCTTATACATACATCTTATGGTATAGTTTCCTTGAGGCTATAATTGAAGAAAATATTTAACAAAATCCATTAAACATTTATTTTAGAGGAATATTCGTTCTTAGACTTAACAAATAAATGGTCACGCATCACGTCATGATGACCTCTTACTCAAAACTATATAGCTCATGAATACTCACTGAATTGAACCTGAGTCAGCGCTGTAAAATTATAACTGTCCGTACCTTTACTAGTATTTTTGAATACCACATAAAACTCACACCTGGGCAATAAAACTATCATTACGCATATAACGCGATGTACGTATTTGTTATTAACCCTAGTTCACCATAATTCTTCCTTCTGGAATGAATCACTCGTATCCCACTAATTGAAAGTAAACTTTAACGTGATACGTTCCAGTAGACTGGTAGGAAATTACTATTAGTAGTAATATATAATTGAATATATTGTCATTCTAATATATTCAATTATTCGTCTGGTGTGTGACAAAGACCTGCATGATAAGGTTATCCAATTGGGAAATATGGAACACTGAGATCGAATTTGTTTTGGTTTCGACACAGCATCAGACAAAATGGTTCTAAAACCTCATGTCATCTGTGATAGAACCGCTCTAAAGCCTAATTTCATCACAAAACATCACACCGATATTCAAGTAAATTTTCAAATTCGTGTCTGGGGCTCCGATAATAGTAGTTCTGTATGTAAAGTATTTTACGCTAGTATACAATAATTCTTATAATATCTTTTCTCTACCTTCTTCTAGACATCTTCTCTACCAATCTTTTAGATTCCATATCTACGTATACATAATTGGTTATACAAATTAAAAACCAATTATTAAATTTTAAGGTTAGGTGCTTGATTCTTCAGCAATGAACATATTTCTGCTGATCATTACGAATAATTTATATTACTTTAGTCACTTATCCACAAACCAGCTCAATTAAACTGTAGTCCCGAAGAAACATCATTAATCAAACCATTTGTACTCACTGCATGAATTTCTACAAGCGTGTATTTTATTAGAGGCATCTAAAACTAATACATATTCCAAATAGTTCATCTGGGTAACTGACTTTTGTTAGACTAATAACGTTGTAGTACCAATAAGTGCTGTTTCTTGTTAACATTCTTTCAGAATATTGAATAATATCTAATTAATTAATTAATATTCAATGTTACCACTTCAACTTTCAATTAACATTGCTATTTACTAAATTGTGACATGACTGTGTCTGCCATTAACATTAGATATTTTTATCAAAGTACATTTGTCGTTTGAAGATAAAAATATGTCAAGTGCACGCTATCGGGTATCATGGATCCTGTACATTACAAACAGCACAAATTATTATGAAATCTGACACACATGATTTGTATATCAATAGTAGATATGTATTTATAGCGGTTCGTGTCTGCACAAAGATAATTTTAATCGGAATTCTATCAAAACTATAACACACGTTGTGCTTGTATAAACATTTCATTTTCGCATCAATCAGAAAAGAAACTCTACTTATATAAAAATATATGTCAGAGCAAGCCAGCTGACGGACGTGACGAGAATGTAAAACGTTTTTTCTTGCCACTGTGGAACCCTGAAAACAAAGATTTTATCTTACCACATATATCAATAGCGATCAGTGTAAAGGCTGTGAACTAAGATAAACGAATTTATCTTTATCTTTTGTTTCAGATGTTGCCGTTGATGAGAACATAAAAATGTGTATCTACATTCAAAGATCACTTACGTAGGCGTGCAAATATTTCAAAATAACATGTTCGATAGTCATTAAATATGTCAACATCAACGTCAACGATGCAGAACTCTACGGGCAAAACTGACTACAAGAATGATCCGAAGTACCAGTGGTTCGCTAACATGCGAAGAAAATGCTATCGTGAGAACACCACACATAGCACCATTCTCAACGAAGATAACCTAGGTAAGTGACATCTGTGACTTTTTTAGTTCTACGTCTTTCACGTCCTATGGTTATAATTTTATACTTGTGCCAAATCATACTTTTGCTTCTGTGTTGGCGCAAGTCAACCGTCAATTTATTAGTAGATCTTTCTTTGCATAATTATCTATTATTAGTTTCTCTAGTTATTTAAATTAAGTAGTAAATAAAGATTATCTGTTTTCATCTATATATATAAAATTCAAAGGTGATTGACTGACTGACTGACTGACATAGTGATCTATCAACGTACAGCCCAAACCGCTGGACAGATTGGGCTATAATTTGGCATACAGATAGATGTTATGACGTAAGCATTCGCTAAGAAAGGATTTTGATAATTTCAACCCCCAAGGGGGTAAAAAAGGGGATGAAAGTTTGTATGAAACTTTGTCAGTTTTAAACTGATCGGGTTGAAATTTGGCATGCAGATAGATGTTATGACATAAGCATCCGCTGTGAAAGGATTTTGATAATTTCCACCCCCAAGGGGGTAAAAAAGGGGATGAAATTTTGTATGAGACTTTGTCAGTTTTAAACCGATCGGGTTGTAATTTGGCATGCAGATAGATGTTATGACGTAAGCATTCGATGTGAAAGGATTTTGATAATTTCCACCCCCAATGGGGGTAAAATAGGGGATGAAAGTTTGTATGAGACTTTGTCAGTTTTAAACCGATCGGGTTGTAATTTGGCATGCAGATAGATGTTATGACGTAAGCATCCGATGTGAAAGGATTTTGATAATTTCCACCCCCAATGGGGGTAAAATAGGGGATGAAAGTTTGTATGAGACTTTGTCAGTTTTAAACCGATCGGGTTGAAATTTGGCATGCAGATAGATGTTATAACGTAAGCATCCACTTTGAAAGGATTTTGATAATTTCCACCCCCAAGGGGGTAAAATAGGGGATGAAAGTTTGTATGAGACATTGTCAGTTTTAAATCGATCGGGTTGAAATTTGGCATGCAGATAGATGTTATGACGTAGGCATCCGCTGTGAAAGGATTTTGATAATTTCCACCCCCAAGTGGGTAAAATAGGGGATGAAAGTTTGTATGAGACATTGTCAGTTTTAAATCGATCGGGTTGAAATTTGGCATGCAGATAGATGTTTATGACGTAGGTATCTGCTGTGAAAGGATTTTGATAATTTCCACCCCCAAGTGGGTAAAATAGGGGATGAAAGTTTATATGAGCCTTTGTCAGTTTTAAACCGATCAGGTTGAAATTTGGCATGCAGATAGATGTTATGACGTAAGCATCCGCTTTGAAAGGATTTTGATAATTTCCACCCCCAAGGGAGTAAAATAGGGGATGAAAGTTTGTATGGGACTTTGTCAGTTTTAAATCGATCGGATTGAAATTTGACATGCAGGAAGACGTTATGACGTAGGCATCCCCAAGTAAGGATTTATGATCATTTCCACCTCCAATGTGGTAATGTAGGGGATGAACGTTTGTATGAAGCTTTGTCAGTTTTACACCGATCGGGTTGAAATTCGGCGTGCAGATGGATATTATGACGTAAACGTCCCTTTAGAAAGGTTTTTGAACATACTCACCCCAAGGTGGGTAAAATAGGGGGTGAAAGTTTGTATGATACTTTGCCAGTTTTAAACCGATTGGGCTAAGACTTTGCATGCATAAAGTTACTATGACATAGGTATCTACTTAGGATATATCTAAAGGATATGATAAATTCCACCCCTAAAGGCCTAAAGGGATAAAATAGGGAATTAGAGTTTGTATAAATCTTCTTAGCCATTGAATGTAGAATCATTGAATCTTTTAGAATTACATTCGGTAAAACGATGATTTGGGACCTGGGTAACGTTTGATAGTATTTATCACAGATGTCCCACGGGAACGGGAACTATGCGTCAATGCCCCAGGGCTCTCTAACTCTTAACCACTGAACTTATTTTAGAGAGATTCGGTACAACAATAGTCGATAGAATAGTTTTTATTACCCAAACCTTACGTGATTGGGCACTGTACTGGTAAGATCCCTGCGGGATTATTTATTTATTGAAACTACGATAAATCATTTCAAAATAGGTAAATCTTACTCGAGCACTGAATTGATTCTGATTAATTCTGTCAGAAGTCATTAATCTACGCGGACGAAGTCGCGGGCAACAGCTAGTTGCAAAATATTTTGATTCTTTCTTTCTTTATACATACAACATATTTTGTTATTTGTTAAATTGTTTGTTGTTGTGAAACATCTCCTAGTCTTTGCTTAAAGAAATGTGAAAATTGTTGACAATTTTAAAATACTTATTTTAGACTCTTTCGCCCTTTTAGCAACTCATTAAAACTGGATATACCTAATCATGAAGATGACCGTTCCTTTGTAAAACATCCATTTAATTTGGTCGACTTATCTTGTAGCAGTTCTCTGCGTATAGTTATGCACAAACACGTTCTGAAAGATTACGAAATATCATATTTTTGTTCTCTATTTCTTTATTTATTCAGTAATTTCCTCATGTTTATACAAAGAAACCGATTCTACTATTTATTTTGATTGCGTTCTGTATAGTAGTAAAATATTGTCATGCGAATGACGCATTTTATATTTTTCACTATGTAAGTATGTTGTGAGATTTGTGAGTCGCCAATATTACGTTTTTAGGTTGACACAGTTCTATTATATTAAAATATGATTAATATATGATTGCCTCGTTGGCCTAGTGGTCGCAAGTGCTACCGGGCAAGGGGTTTCGGGTTCAATTCCCGGTACGGGCAAAGAATTATTGGGTTTTTAAAAAAAAATCTCAGTAGCATGGAGTCTGGAATCGAGCCCGGTATATGGCAATAGGCTCAACTCCTATCACATGGGATTCATAAAACAAATAGTGAAAAGTGGGTGTTACATTGTACAATGGCTTTAAGTGCCGTAATGTGCACCTCTGCCTACCCTTCTGGGAATAAAAGGCGTGATGTTATCTTAGTTACAAATGCTGAAGACTATTCTACACACTATTACATCACTATACTGTCAATTGAGCGGGCTTAAACGTCCTCAGTAAATTTAAGAAGATCGACATAATTTACTTGGATTGAATTTTACCAACTAATAAATCAAATACATAGTACCCAACTTGTATCTTTTGTGATTTATTGTAATGTATAAAAGGAGGGTAGGTTCCCTATAGTAAAAGATGTAGGGACATTTTTGACGCATGTGGACGACAAGATCAACGACAAGAGGTTTTACAGATCGGGTCAGTGCCTGTAGCCAAACGCCACTTTAGCGCTTGTCTACAGAGAGTGTAGAAACCAAAATGTATGGGGATAACACTGACAAGTGTCAAAATTACGTCAAATTCATATAATTTAGTTTTCTATTCTACAAGTAGACAAGCGCTAAATGGCATTTGGCTACAGCTGCAGGTGTATCACCCTTTGTAATAATTTTTTTTTGTTCGAACAGATAGTGATCTCTGGTGCCCGCGGACGTTTGACGGGTTTGCCTGCTGGGATGAGACCCCCGCTGCAACCACTGCATACCAGCCGTGCCCCCAATTCATCATCGGCTTTGACCCCAGGCGCTACGCTTACAAGACGTATGTAATTCTTATCTAATTTATTACATTGCACGTATCTATACATGGATTGTGTATTATCGTCTGTATGGCAGTGCATTGCAGACTGTATTCATGACTCATTCAGGAAACATTAACAAATGTGTTCTACATGTAAATGCACTTGTAAAGATTGTAAATAAAGTTTTAGTATTGAAGACGAAGAAGATAATATTAATGTTGGAACTCGGTATATTATTTATTATCCACATTTACTTTGTACATAATCTTGTAAATTCTTAAAAAATATATAATAAATACAGGCCAAACTGAGAACCTCTTTTTTTGAAGTCGGCTAATAACAAAACGTTTCTGACCATTTGCTTTAAACGACCCACTTTGTGCAAAATTCGAGCTCTTTCCCCTTCCGTTCTCATTTACTCCCCGAGTTACCCTACCCATTGCCCAATCATTGTTACCTTAAGTTACCATTCCCAAGCAATGTCGGTTACATTGAATTTTTATCAACCCCTGATCACATCTTCCTTACAAAGTGAAATGAGGAAAGTGGATTAAAAGTATAAATGATATTTTTAATTAAGAACTTTGAAATCACCGTGGTAAGGCTCACATTTGTAAATAATTAATTGATCGAAAGTTGATAGCAAGATGCCTTTCAATAGCCCCTGACTATCTAATCAATCAAAAGTAGGCGTTACGCAATATATATCCAAAAGTTTAAACAATGAGATGACACACATCAAACAAGAATACAATACAGCAATTAATATTTTTAGGGGTAAGATTTGTGTTAAAAGGTACCAAGAATTATGTTAACCGACTTAGCTTTAATAAATTTTAAGACTTTTGGTAGATACAGCATTAATAGATAAAAAGGTAGAGACGAGTTATTATCATTATTATGTTAAATAATCGTGCAACTACATACGACACAAGCTTTACAAACAGATTAATGGTAGCATTATATCCATATTAGTGCAAAGGTGTTTGTACAAGTCCCGGAATTAATTAACATTGGACTGGTTCACGTTCAACCACGCAAGTAACTCTTACTACAAATAGAATAAGCTCAATTGATAAATCGAATTGGCGTCCAAGGGCCGCTTTTTGTTCAACGAAATAGTCAAAGTTCATATTTATAAATTGTAATAATATTGATCACTATCTATTTCATAAAAATATTTCAAAATTAGAAAATGAAAACGTCTTAAAATATCCTTCCTGGTATTCTGTACTGGAGTCGCCTATTCAACCATCCTGACTTTACCATTCAACTGACCCACTATCGTTATTTAACCATAAATCTAGATCCAAACAACACATTAAATATAAAGAACATTATCTAGAATATCCTGGTTATCTAGCTCGAAAGTAGTGCTCCCAACCTCTTAAAATAAATCAAGCTATTCAAGATCCCAAGTTTATTTAATAGATATTGCTAAATGCGATTGGGAACCAAATGGTCCATTTAAAACGAAAATTTATTTGTGAGTTTAGTACGAATATGATAAATGGAATGATAAATGATCTTTAATGCAAATGGAATAAAATATAGAATCGATTAAATTACTTTGGATCTGATGGCCTACAACTTTGGTTATGTTCCTTGGGAAACAAAACACAATGACCTTGGCTGTTTATTGCAGTTTTATTATCTTGTAATCATACGATTACTGACAAGGTCCTCTGATCGATTTCTCAAATGTATTTATTTTCTGTTTCTGCGTGAGTTTAAATCGAATAGATTTATAATGAGTCATAACTCGTTTGCCAAAACTATAACGACAACTCCTAACAAAATTGACAAAAGAGTCGAAGTAGGTCCATGCATATGCTATTAATACACCCCTGTCTACCAGTCTGGCCCTATAGAGAACAATAAACAGAAGTTGGTATATGTTTATGAAGAAGGAAAAACCTACACTTAATTTTGGTAAGAAAACTACAAGTGTTTTGGAAGAGATTCGAGAAAATTCCGACACAACTTGTGAAGTACAAACACTGCGTAACATCTGCAGGGTTTTAAGGATGTTTTCTTTATGTTGGCCTGTACTATGCCCAGGTGCCCAGAAGGTTTAAATTAATCTCTTTTACTCATAAATTTGAGGTTCGTAACAATGTTTGTATATCCGTTAGTCAACCAAGAACGTTGGTTGCGATTTAGGTAAAAAAGTGTTTAGAATTATTTATTCCTATCTGTTGATTGAGCCTATCGTGATAATTCAAATTCTTAGTGTTATTCCTACCTAATGGGTAGTGGGGGTAGGTGGAATGTTACTTTTTATCCCACTTCAGTTAGTCATTATGTCACCGACAACTCAATGCAATCCACTGCTGGAGTATGGGCATCTCCTATCCAAGAGGATTTATCACAATCTTTACGCCTTCCATACATACTAAAAATCAGCAATTGAACTACTAGAACTATCATAATAATTAATATTACATTTCACAATTTAGTGTTGTTTGGTCTCTTCAGCACTCGATAAACATCAGTATTGACACGACGAACTGAAAACTTGGTTACACAGCTCTTACGTTATTAATTTGACTATTTGTTTTCATTGTTAATGGAAACCATTATGAATTATTTTGCTTAATTAATCGTACCCGAACGTATCGCAAATTTCGTATTTGGCAATTATCAGCAGTTCTCTGTTGAACATAGGTCTACCTCAAGAGGCCTTATTTACTATTTATTTCCCTAATGTAGGTACCAACGTCTTGTACTTTTTTCTCCATTTTACGCCAATCTTGTCAAGTAGCCCAATTACGGAGCACACTCACAATCAGAAAAGCTTTTATTTCGACTAATTGTACTAAAATAGCCGCAGTGAGTGGCTATACTTAAATGTGCGACCGACTACAGGGACATTCAGCTGGACTACCATTGCCGACTGGCTTACATTGTCACAACACCATAGAGTGCTGTTCTTGTACATGCAAATTGAATAAGAAAATAACTTACGTATTCGAATTCCCAGACGGCATTTAGACTTGGCCTGTGTGTCTTTCTATACAATAAAGCTATATAGATAGCACAATGAACAAGACGTGAAACCCATCATTATTCAACGGCTTTGATTTAAATCACCTAAAGAAGCAAAAATAATCGTCTATAGCTTCTTACTGTTTGTTTAAAAAACAGATTTATTAGGCACTCGGCCGGGCGAGTGGTTCAATCTATTTGTTTAACGTGCCTGGCTTCACTCCCGCCAGTAGCTATTACTGCCACAACAAGTACATACGGTAGCGACGATAATACTATATGAAACTTACATACTCTTCCTTCAAAGCGACAACCGCGGCTTGCTAATGTAAACATTTAGTTACTCGTAAAACTTGACCTGAAAGTATACGTTTCGGCTTTTCATCAGATTTAAAAGTAAACAAAACTGAATTTAAAGTAATAAAGATAAGAAGGGAAGGAACTGTAGAATAAATATCGACAGACAGACAAATATACCGTGAAATTGACTTGCAGAAAGGGTCTTAGTAGAACTATGAAGTAACAGATAAAAACTACGAATGTAAAATACCATGCTGTTCATAAAGAACATTTTATTTTGCATAGAAGACCGTGGGTTGGATAATTCATAGACTACCTGACACATTGTACCACACGCGTGCTTCCTACAAACACTCTCTTATAAACGCAACACTTTTATTCGTTGATTCATTGGAATATAAAACTTTGTTAATCGTCGGGAGAAACATAAACTTTGGCAATCTTGCGTCCAACGTTTATTTGTCTATTCGCCTGAAACTTCGTAATCAAACTTCTAAACCGATTTGAACAATATTTTCTCATTAGGACAATTTCGAACTTTAATATAGAGCTGTAGAACTATAAAGGTGCTACTTTAGAACCGCCTGAAAGTATAATTCTTTTAGATACCCACATTTCAATAATATTTATGTTCCATCTCGAAGCCGAGATGTAAGAGACCATATTTATACCCTATACCTAACTGTTTTTAAGAATCTGAAGGACTCACTCTTAAACGATTTATTAAAGTCTGATCGGCAATTCAAGTGATTAATGTTTTCCACCACACCCACAGACGTACTAAAAACAAACTTTTCAGCTTTTTTACTACTACGATTTAGTAAAGCCGTTAAAAACACTGATCGTTGTACGTTTGTTTACGTAAACAATTAAACAATAACTGCACAAGTAGGTACTATCAAACCATTAGCCAAAAAAAATCGCCATGGATAGTTCCATTACATAAAACGATAAACGACATCTAGAAGAACCAAGTTCGGGTTCTCACACAATACAATTAGGCCACTTAAAACTTCAGCACTATTGAAACTTCTGTTATTATGAATTATGGGTGACAAATCTTTGCTAAAAGCGTAAGCAAACGAATTTATACCGAAAGTACAAACAAATTCCTTTTGAAACAAAGGCAAAAATCGAGAATTTAGGGTTCAATAAATTTAACTGTTCAACATTCTTAAGGTTCTATCGTGGCCAGATGGTGAGTCGTTTCGGGGAGCTGCTGGAACCCGAATTGTTTTAGACAGTGATGGCTTTGCAACTACACCGTTGTTTCTGTTTCCCTTAAAAATACTGTATTGTGCCATTTTTAGACTCCATTTTCGTTTAGACATCGTGTGACAGCGTTTGACAGTGACAAACAGTGTGTCACGCAACTACAGTAACCGGTGGTGCTGGAAGAACGGAAAACTTATTATTAAGTTTTTTAATGATCAATCACCTGGTCACAAAATTATATTTATGATTTCAAAAAGTGTTGTCTCACTCTGGTATTTTATCCTGTACAGTGTACACAACACAGTGTATGCATGTTGCACAGGTACTTACGTACCGAAACACAAGATTATTTTTCAGGTTATGTCTGTGATGTATAAATTAGGTTTGTGAAACAATAATTTATACATCGTATGATAGTATAATTTGGTACATTAAAATGTTGATATAATTTGAATAAACCCGTTCAGCAGGCACAAAAGCCATACAAACTCAATTTGACATCGAAATTAGCCAATCTCTAAATAATAAAAAACTAGACATGAAAAAAGTATAAGACTAAATAAAAGTTTAAAAGCTATCCCGTAAAATGTCTGCACACGCCACTGATGCACATGAATGAGTCGATCGTCAATTCTCCACAAGAATTCGCATCATGATTATTCCTGATAAAAACTCTAGGGTTATTTACAGAGTCAAAAATATAGTGCATAGTAAAATAAACATTACAGCTTGTATTTTATTCGAAACGAAGTTGATAATCGTTTGCTCGTTTGCCACGTTTAAAATTACTGGATAGACTACACTCAGGCCATGTTTTTCTAATGGTAGCGAGTAGATAAAATTCACTAAGCTTGAGTTATGCGTTTGATTTCTGATATAAATGTATTAATGTGTTTTTAAACTTCGTAATTTTACCATTTTGGTCGCTATAGTAGTACTAAGTAATGAAAGATAGCAGTACTGCTCAAAAAGGATGCGAGACATGGTTTGCATTCCAGGTTAAACTTTGACTCGGAACGCAACGGAGAATAGGGAAGGCAATCGACAATTGAAGACCTTAATTTAGTATTTTATACACTGAATAATTCACATAAGAGCACCTACATTGTGAATCAGTCATTGTAAAATCAACAATCACATTACCTTATTAACCCTAGCAGCAGAAAAGTCACACAAAAGCACTTTATCCTGAACCATTTCGGAATAAAACCAAAGTTAAAAAAAAAATTGGACAAAACGCTTTAAATATTAATGACACCAACGACAAAAGGAATCGTGTATCCACACATACAAATACTAACTTTTCCCTGTGAATTTCACCTGTAAAAAATATTTTAAACAGATTTTTCTCATGATTTTTTCTATATTACATCAAAATAAATAGATTCAATATATTTTCCACATAGGAACCGACAGTCATTTTGGTAGTTCCTATTGACTGTTGATTACTTTTAGATTTAGCGATTTTAACGAAAAGGAGAATTTTAACATCATGCCTTTAATCCCCGAAGGGGTAGGCAGAGGTACACATTACGCTAAAGGAAAATTTTGTGTAACTTTATATTTACATTTATATTTGCAAGGTCAGAAATGAAACCAAACAAACCCATATTTGTTTATCTTTGTATTTTGGACATCCCAACATTTACTTAAACTGCTAATGAAATTATATGTTTATATATAAATAGATACTTTCAAGTCATCTGACCTTTTCCACCCTCTTATGGTTAAACCCCAATTCCAGTAAAAATAAGGAAATTGAAAATCAAAATCACTGGACACCAGGCCACCAGCTTAATAGTAGCTAGTGATTCAGTATTCAATAATTTCGAAAAAGATTTCAACCTTCAACAAAAAAGTACAAAATTCGTTTCGGATTTTAAAACCTGACTGCTTTGGTGTTGATAACACATTGCAATTTTCACAAATCAAACAAGATCTCGGTTATCTGTATGTCCACTGATTTGACACAATACTCAGATATTATGAGGGTAATAAATGTATCTGTGTCATGAACTATCCACATCAACATGTGTACGATGACCCGATGGCTAAAACTGTCTCCATATACAAACTTTTTGGGTGTTTCCAACAATGTTTTGTCATCCCTAGTGTGTTGTCGAGGATAAATGACGGTGATTCTGCGTAACAAGTGATCGCATCGTAAGCAATATTTAACTTTGTTGTTGTAACTGTTACTGGCAATATATTAATTTATGTCAACTTTATTCACAGAATATACAAAAAACTTTAAAAAACACTATCGCATCAACATGTTACATCACTGGAACAGGTCAATCGATACAAAATTGAAGAACTTGTCTACGGCTGACCCGTAATTTATTATTGAAAGCTTAATTGTGCAGGACTGCATTTCATAGAACTGAATAGTAACAATAATAACGTTTGTCACGCAAACTCTTTAGTACCTATAAGTACTTTCCTTGGAAAGCACCTACAGACATGTCTTTGAAGGTATTTTTAAAAGAAATCAAATGACATTACAGCTTAATATTTATTACATAAAGTTCAATTTCATAAAGGTCATAAATAAAACAAAATGTAACGACTTTATGAGATCAATCTTCCGCTATATGTAAATACTGTAATCAAAAATGAATTTAAATAATATTGAAATAAAATTGTAAATAAGAGCAAGCTGTAATGCTGTTACGCTCATCAGAAGCTAGGAATTGAGAGTAAAAACCTTGGTGGTGCTAATAAAGGACAGTGCTCATTAGAGGTAAAGTGGGGTTACCGCTACACTAATATTCCTTAACCTTCTCTAAGGTTGTAGAAACACGAGATTTAGTTATAGTACCTTTTTTCCTTGCCCTTAGATACTAAGCTAGGGTTAAGAATGCTGAAACTAATGTTTCAAGACATTTTTAAGACGTGATCCGTATATCTACCTACTCTCATTAGAACAGACATGGCGATTAGCAAACCCATTCTTGTGACTAAAATGTTTGTAGATCATCATCTACGTCATATCAGCAACAAGACATTCGTCCACTGCTGAACACAGGCCTTCCTTACGGGTATCGTAGAGGCGTTTACTAAAAACAGTATGTATACGTATGTATGTGTATGTAGGTGTGTGACAGATCCGTAACAACATTATCTGTAATACTTTTTTTACTGGAGAACTTACTCTACCAACCAACTACACACCACAACTGCGGTTTCTATATTTTTTTAAAGGATAACTTGAGTCCAATTACTTCATAATAGCCAGATAATTTGCTTCTTCGGTGCTTGAGCGTTACCTACGTTGCTTTGATGTCCTCCAATACAGTTAGTGCGGTGGTGCGGTGGCTGGGCAACCGTCTGCACGCAACGTGTCGCGAGTTCGAATCCCGCACGGAGCAACTCTTTGTGTGATCCACAAATTGTTGTTTCGGGTCTGGTTTTCATGTGTATGTAAACTCGTATTTTCGTTAACGAACACACGACACAGGAGAAAATCCTAGGGGGCAAGGTTTTTTTATAAAAAATAACAATTTTAATCGTAAAAAGTCTTTTCGGCAAACAATAAATGTCCCACGAAATACTACAGTTCCAGAGAAGTTTGAATTTTCATGTCTACAAACTTTACTCATAATCTAATCGTATCTATGTAATACAATTTTACTAGCAACAATCATATTTATTTTAAATAAGCTATTTCGCGAGAGAAATTGTAAAGTAACAAGTATACTATGCCATCATACCATATTACCTCTATATTGTGTAATATGTACCAATTTAATCGATACCTTGATATTTTCTTTCACAATCGTACGCCTTATCAAGAATTCACATAAGTTCCCATACATGATACTCGTGAACCAGCTCCTTACACTTCTCCATTTTTTCATACAAAATTCCTATGATTGTTACATTGGCAAACAGTCGTCAAAGGAGTAATCAGTAGATATAATTCATCTACTCAACTACTAGACTAGTGATGTGCCTAATAAATTCTTTACTAGCTCTAAGAAATCTCACAAACTAAAGCCATACTCGTTTTACCATTGATCAACAAAGGACAAACATTAATACTGGTTTTGATATGACACAGCGTGATATGAATCTAAAATGTGGTGTGTTCAAAATCTACGAAAAAATGTGGATAAATGTATGAACAAGATTTTACATTGAGTTTAGCGGATTGTAGTAGTAAATAGGCATTGTTTGAAGAATACTAATATTTTTTGACATTGGTGTCATATTCATTGTAAAGAAGCTGTTACTATGACAGAAAATTGATCAAATGTCTTTTTATCCTTAATTTAATTATGATAATTAAACACGTATTGTTGAAAGAACTCTGTTCGGATAGTTTGAACTGGAAATCTCCGTAACTTAAAAGCAAAATAGTAAAAGGCATCTGTTTCCTAAACAGAAGGCTAGTGTGCAGCCGTACTTAATGACCACAAACTACTTGTATTTATAGGTTCATATACATGGACCAAGTTTCATCAATCATTTTGTTGTTACTAGAAAGTTTTCTATGTGTATATAGTAATATTTCCTACAAGAAATGCTTCATTTTTTTTATTAGTACATACTTGTAAATAAATCATTTGTAACAGGATGATGGAGTATCAACTTGTCACGTACATAATGATAATGTAATTAGAAATAATCACCATGACCGACGAATTGGGTACGTTGCAGTAGCCTCTGTTCATTTTTGGATTCGGGTTGGTTACAAACATAGGTATAATGTTCAGGTTAAAAATTTAATTAGAATAGCCATTCTTCTTTCCGATCTCGGAAAACTAAAGACTAGCTAGCATTAGAATTGGTAGACACATGTCTCATATGTACTTTTATTGTTCTCTCATATGTTTTATTTATTTTTTGTTATCCGGAGATCAAAATATTGACTTTCGATCTGATCATAAATCCAGGTTTACCAGGGTTCCGACTAGTAACGGGGTGTTTTTAGTCAGTAAGAGTTTGACAGTCCCTCTTGCCTCACCCAAGGTCTTTGCATGATTTCCTCTCGTGATTATAAATGAATCATCGATAAGAGAATAATCAAGACTTCAATCAATAAAAAAGGCTATCCAGTCAAATTCTCAAAATGGTACTCTTTGTTTTAGATGCACGGAAAATGGAACATGGTTCTTGCACCCGCACGCGAACAAACCATGGACCAACTACACCACCTGTGTTGATGTTGACGACCTTGACGTGAGTATCTTTTAACTGAATTAGATGTACCAAGTTTTTTTACGGCATAAGCCTGTAAACGAGCAGACGGATCGCCTGATGATAAGCAATCGGCACCGCCCAATGGACACCTGAAACAACGAGGCATTACCAGTGTGTTACTGGACTTTTGGGAATGTGCAATTTGAGGATTGTGGAGTATATCGGGGATTGGAGAGACTTTTTTTTTTTTTTTATGGGACAAGCCCGCCACAACCTCCCAAAACCGCTGCAACTCCTGTAAGCCAGGATCTACAGTAGATACAACCATGAAAACACCGGAACACTGAAGTCCGGCGCGTCCCAGGGACATGAGTAACTGTCTTGGTTCCCGCAACGAAATGAATCAGAAGATATTATAAGAGGAGAAGAAAAAAAACTATAGTTTCCACTTCCCTCGGTGAATTTCTGCAGGAGACAGAATGAATTAAGCCTAAAGGCACAAAGAAGAGACTGTACAACTGGGTGAAGCCCAGTCGCCAAGCACCACGGAAATTTGACTAAAAAACTAAGTGGGTCCTATGTGTGAGCTGTTATACTTGCTTCCAATAATAGGTATGGCAAAAACGCCTAAACGCACGGAAATTTGTTCTAGATTCCACAAGGTCCGTATAATAAGCTACACCTGACGAAACAATTAGAGAGGACGGATTGGAGAGACTGGGAAGGGGGGTAATTAGCCTCCGGTAACCTCACTCACACGACAAAACACTACGCAAGCGTTGTTTCACGTCGGTTTTCTGGGACACCGTAGTATCACTCCGGTCGAGCCGGCCCATTCGTGCCGAAGCATGGCTCTTCCACACTTTCAAAATCAGTGTATATTTGTAAATTATAATTGGATTATGTTATTGTGTTCAGTTTAAGTCAGTAAGCTCGTCTCATAACATCATAGAACGCATTGTTTTCGGACACATGAGTTCTGACCATGATTCTTGCTGAGAAATGTGGGTGACGATTTAAATTAATCTATTCGTTCAGTAGGTAAATTAAAATCATGTTACGTATTTCACATTTTAAATAGATATCTAATTCTAGCTTGGCTACTTCAAAAAATACTGCAACATAATTTGAAACCATGTGACTCTACTTAAGTCACACGTATAAAAAGATCCTCCCCTTACATTACACATTATTGATTTTTTTGAAACTCGTTATAAAACGCACGATAAAGTTCTAATAAAATTCGTTGTCTGCGAATTAATGACACCATCGTTATCCTTGCCGTATTCTGCAGCCAATTTCATTTCTTCTTCCACCTAATACTCATCAATCACTTGAACCGAAGGAAAATAACCAGGAAGTACTTACAACATCTGACAGTATCTATAAGAAAAGGGAATTTTCCTTCCCCTAGACACACAATTTGGGTCAGAAAATCTACCTCCACCAAAAACAACAAGTACAATTATCAAGTGTCTACGGTAATAGGAAAGTTTGTTTTCACAGTCTAAAATAAACTGTATGATTGATTTATCTATTTGTTTATAACATCCATGTACATTATACACATGTATAGACACAGACGTAAAAATAACAATATTTCTAAATTGGTAAATTACAAAAAGTCAACAGAAATATTTTGAAAAAGTAATACTAAACTGGATTAGACAAAAATACTTCCCTATTACACGAATACTCAAAATTCTAATACCCATACTAATTGATGATTCATTCAATACTTCTATTATATTTTTAACCTATAATCACGCGTAGAATTCCTTTATATATTTAATAAACATAATTAAAATTGCAAAAACCTTCAAAAGAACAACTTACACTGACATGAATGACAAACTAAATTATACTGCGTGACTACGATCTTTAGCTATCGTGATCGTGAAGGACTTTCTGAAGGTACGAGTATGTTTTATATTTAACGAGATCAAAATGTCACAGTGTTCGGAACTCTGATTGGCCTGCGTCAATGAACCAACCAATCAGAGGTAAACGCGGTAACATTTCGATGTCGTAAATCCTAAAACAAACTCATACTAAACTTTCTGCTTGTTCCTTTCGTGGCGAAATTAAATAGTTTGTTTTTTATTTTATATTTCAATCGTGGCTGTAGTATAATTAATACCTATGGGTGAAGTTCTAGTTCCGTCATTTGCACTTTAACATGAAAATATGTTTGTGCATTGTCACCTAGTCACTTCGATATAATTTTTAAAGCTTCGGCTGTATTGTACCATTCTAGTGAGTGGCTCGGAATATCGAAGTATTCAGAGTAAAACTCTAATACCTACACCCTCACCAACCGCTTCTGAAAATGCTATAACAGAACACACTGGAATTATGAAAATAAGCCGTTTTTTTAAGGGTGTAAAATCATCGCATGACTTCTCACGCCTGAGTGAGGCGGAAGTGAGAATCAGACTCTTACTGACTAAACCACACCGTTCCTTCTCCTGCACTTCGAATCGGAGCCCCGGTAACCCCGTTTCTCCGCGACTCCGAATCGGCATCAGCCCTATTGGACCCCATCCGTCGTGGTCTGATGGCTCTTTGAGTCGGGCGCGGAACGTGACGCGCGCTACGCTCGGGTTTGGTTCTGGTCGGGCGGCGAGCCACCCATGCTCACCGTCCGCAGGCCCGCGCTTACGGTGGCCGGAGATCGTAAAATAAAAGGTTACAAGAAGATATACAAGAGAAAAAATTCTAACTTACACAGTCACGGTTCACTTGTTAATTATTAAAGCACGTTTAATAATCAAGAAAGCCTGTAATGTGCGAGTATTTTAACGTTTTTCCTCCAATGCTTCCTGGTCTAACCAATTTGTGTATATTTATTTACGTAATTTACATTTTCTTGTAATAATATTTTGACGGAATGGAACGCTTGAACGGAATCTCCCTTTTGTTTAGGTAAATGGGAGCATAAAATGCAAATGGAAATACGATTGACAGATTTTCTCGTTATATGTTTAGGATTCTAAAGATTTTCTGCTCTAATATACATAAAAAAATGTAATAAAAATGGCGACTTGAAAGGGTAATATAGTAATGCGTGTGCGGATAACTGTGTCATTTCAATGCCGCCCCTCACTATTGAAGTCCACTCGAACGACACCCGATTGCTGACTCAACGATTTTATAGACCATGTTCAGCTATTCAACGAAAACCATAAAACGCCTTATTTAATTCGCCAGAATATTTTATTTCGATGTTGAAACGTTATTTCGAAAGCAGCGTTTCATCAGTTTTGTAAGGAGTTATACTTTATAGCTATTTCACTGTAAAAGTCTTTAGCTAGTAAAAGTATTATTACAAATGCAACATAGAGGTTTATTCACAACTTGTTTAGTTTACGCCAGTTACCTGTACCGCAGTGTGTAATGACGTTAAGATTGATTTTGTTAACATGCAGCATTAGCATCACAATAAAACGAAAACATCGAACGGAATTGCTTAATTCAAATTAGGTGCTATGTTAATTCCTAAATTAACTCACTCCCATCTATATCTTGCTATAGGACCCGGAACCCTGTGGTCTACAATCTTATTTATCTCACTCGTCGAACTGTTCAGAAGCGCACGTGTACGTAACTGATCAACGAAACAAGCCGGAACCCATAGCACAGATTAAATACACTTGGGCAAAACTGTGCGTGTACAAGATAATATAGTTTTTATGTTTGTTTAAAAGTATTATGTGTACACAATCTGACGTTTTGGCGTATCGGTACCGTATGACGAGTGACAAGACTCGTCGCCTAGCAGCGGTGCGCCATCTATCACGAGGCGCATTGTTTACTGCTGCCGACTTGCCGACACCCTGTATACACGCGACTATGATTCATGCGCGCAATGTCTCAGTTTCCTCTGTTATTTTTATATAATGTACGCCTTTGAGACGTTAATGGTTAAGATGATATTATACACTAGACTTGTTTGTACTTTATTAAAAGTTACGTTAGGTATATACATTGTTCAATTACTTTTTCAAAAGGGTAGATAGACCTTTTTCGACCTGGAGATTAGGTAGGTATTTAATTCGACAGAGACGACAAGAAGGAGGGCAGGTGTAGAGAAGAAAATAAAATCAAAATTATTATAGTTTTCGTTTAAATTCTAAAAGTAAACAGTAGCGAAAATATTTAGGTTTAAATTTGTCTTTTTGTTTCAGTTCAGGAACATCGTGAACAACATCTACGTGATTGGATACTCACTGTCAGTGGTTGCTCTGCTGATCTCAGTCTTCATTTTCCTATATTTTCGGTAAGTAGGTAATATTCACATAGATCATTATTCACATTTACGTACCTAACCCATTTTTGCCTACCTTGGAAAAGAGGATAGTTATGGTTTATGGTTATTTTTCATCTCTATTCTGCAAAAAACTGAACTAATCTTTAATAATTAATTCAAACTTGTCCTTTTTTCTATTCTTGTATCACTTATCAACAAGTTTTTACTATTTGATTTTCATTTATCAATATCGACAGGTTATCTAAACTAATAAATAAATTCAACCGCTGTTTGTATTCATACTTTAACTTATTTCATGAAAATCTAAATAACGTTGCAAATTGCATCAAAATCCGTGAATAACATAAATAAACAAACCATAAGAGCTTAGTTACAAATCAGATATTTAAAAAAAATAAAGGATTTGCAAAAAGTTCAACATTCATATCAGATATTTTTACTAGATCTACCAATCATCACAGTACATTGATATTTTAATATGATTTAAAAACAAACTCCCGAAGTAGATGAGTGCTTGAATCTATTATTAAATAAACATTATTTTGTTTTGATTATAACAAGATGTTTAACCGAAATATTTCCGATCGAACATTACCTATTTATTTTTAGCTTGTATACATTTAAGTGATGATGTCTTGGTGGAGCTATAGTCTCACTTTGTTCTATCTATGGTAATTGGTAGGTATGATAACTACCAACTTTTTCACTACCACCATTCACGTTAAGTAAAAAGTGATATTTTTTGAAGGGAGAAAATCATCATTCAGAAATAGTCAGAAATATTTGGCAGTAATTTAATTTTATGCAACTGATATTGCATGCAATTTTCTTAAACCCTAGAGATTTTAGATTATCATCCGTTCATAATTTTGGCCACAGTTTGTATTAAGTTCAAATAAATAAATAATTAACTCAGATTATCCTATATCTGCACCCACAAAAAAACAAACCGCTCGTTAAAATAAGTGACAGTAACAACGTCATAAAGCCACATAATGAGTTTAAATTTTTAACTACGAGAACTGAATATTTTATGTTAATGTGAGTTAACCTAACTAAAGCTTTACCGCGGAACAAAAAATGGTAAAGCAGTGTCTACTGGTTTCAATGCAATGTTGTATTTACGACTTTGACCATCCATCCGTCACCATCAATCATCGCGATCATCAGATTACATCAAATTTTGTTTTTTACCGAGTAATGTAATCACTTGTACCTCGTAACAACGTTTTCAAGTTGATTTCATATGACGTAAGATTAAGAGGGTATACAGAAGTACACAAAAGCCTTGCATCCATCATCCACGATGAGCTTGTGACCCCTTAATCAATGAAACTGTTCGTCAGAGAACAAGAACATGCACCTTGTTCCACTATAATGGTTCGAATGGTTGTTGTACAGCATGCAACAGCCTTTGGTTATTGTAGGGGCAAACAAGAAGTGTTCTCTTGTAGGTATTATAGAGAGTTAGCTACGACCTTCTTTCAAACATCTTGGGAAGAAGCCAGGATAATAAAAACGTCTCAACACGAGAGATTTACTCAAGTACAAAAGATGTAAGAAATAAAATGACACTTTTCCATATCCGTATTATAGGAGATTCCTATTCAATTTTGCAAAATGGCCTATCTTTAGAGAAAGACTGAGAAATAAGAACGAAAGCGACGCTTATCTAAGCTAAGTAATAAACGGGGTGAGTACGGCATAAACCTATGTTGTGCTGAATGCATATACATTTTATCAATAAAGAGTACATAAAGCTTGAGAGTACCTCACTCCGCCACCCTAGAGAATAATCTTCCATGCAAACATACACAGCAACTTGGAAAGTGATGTGAAAAGTACTTACTGTTTCATTTTCATTTACCAAAAGTGTAAACAACTGTTCGAGCTTGAAAAGTCATTACTTAAACATTTTCCTATAAAACTTTACCTACTGTGGTAGTCGTATCACACAATCGTGTTTACTGTTCTTGTGAAAATGACTTGAACCAAGTCAAATCTAGTGTTCGAACATTGTTTGAGTTGACTTACTTATTCTGTACACATAACTTCAAAATCTAGTGGTTACAAACACGGCTGCGAACTCGCTGCCTTGTATTTTAACCTTCTTTGTTCTATGCTATATAAAACTGAATGCCAATTTCCCTTGATCATCGCATCACGCTTCAATAGGTAGCCCAATTTCGCTAATTCTTTTTCGTTGTGTTTGTTATAGTCAGAAAGTTCTTATAAAAGAAAATTCGAAAGAAAAGTCGGGATATGTTGCCGGATCTTAGCTGAGACAGCGATAATCAATGTAGTGTTTAATCATTTACTATTAATATGTACGTATAGGGTGCACAACTAATGCATGCATTGCACGATAATTTCAAGCGTGGTGACCATAAAACTGAATGTAATTTTGTAGTCATAAATTACTTATCTCCTGAAGAGATATTGCAACATAAATTTTTAGACAGGTTGGACATTTTTATAACACACTGTAGAACAGATAAACTGAATGAATAAGCTGCTATCTCCTGTGTTGTTAAATTTTGCAACACAACTTCAAACCCCTTGTTCAAAACAGAAATCGAACACCCCGCATACTATATAGAAGTGAAAAAGTGGAATTCTTTGCCAGTTTCTGTTTCCTGAAGGGTATATAACCTAAGTGTCTTCAAACCCCCAGTGAGTAAGTTACTTATCGGCAGGCGTGCTCTGTCATTCACCATTGTCTGGCCACATTTCGCTTCCAACTATCCAGTAATGTTTTACTTTAACAACTTTATGTTTACAGAATAGAATTATTTATATGTATAGGGTGTGAACTCATTGATCATTCACATTATTTAAATCCTATCAAATGGAAAAGAGGATGTTAAACATGCTGTCAGTATTATCTTTTCTCGTATACTAAAGGAAAATTTTATTTTCTAAACACTTTGCCACGCTTAGCGCTAGCTCAAAGCACTGAATACTATAATATTCTCAAAGTGCGTTAACTTAAAAGATTTTTCTCGTCCAGATTCTCGTCCTGTGCTTTCTAAAACTGTTTCAAACAATTTTGAAGGATTTCCTTCTGAAATCGCGTTATTCATTGATGCATTTTATTATATTTTGAGTTGCAGCCGATTATGTGTAAGGATTCATTGTATACTATATAGTATACTCAATGTCTTTCGCTTCCCAAATTCTCATTTTAAAAATTAATTGTAAAACATTAATTAAGTAAGTTTTACACGAAGTATTACATAAACCAAAGTAAAATATATGCGTCACATCTGTCGATGCAATTTGAGCAGACGACTACACTGTACCGACGTCAGAGATCTTACTTGGACGTACAGAGACTACGTGAAAAACAATGAACACGATGCAGTAAAACGCAAGTGAAAGAATAAAATTTCTAAGCAGTACACTCAAAGTAGCCATTTCTACACTAGAATGACGTCTAAAATGGAATCGAATTTTCTTATTCTGTTTTGTCGAAGAACATAGCACGCTTGCATTTAAACATTTTCTCCCTATCACTGCAAACTATTGTTGCACAAAAAAGGAAATCACGTTGGAAGAGAGAACCGTTCTGAAACCTTTTAATTATTCACTTGTATGGGTTCTGACCAAATAGATAATGGCACGACATATTGCACCAGAGAATGTGCTTTACCATTCTTTGCTTAGTTCTGTGTTAACCAATTTATTTTCTACCGTAACACTTTAAAAACTGTTTACTTGTTGCAATCAAATATTTAAAGACACTCACGAGGTGTTTTAGACAAGACAACTAAATGCACCTTTGATTCCAAGTCTACATACTGGCTACAAATGGTTTGATGGCTACCGTTTTACCGGTTCCAAGTTCCATCATCCATTCATTCCATTACAAAATTATGCAAACAATTCTGTTAAAAGAACAAAACTATTCTTGAATTGGAACATTCACATTACTTTTTTATTCTTTTTTAATAGAAACGGTTGCACGTTGTTTATAGTGTGGACTAGGACTCTCTCCTGTGTCGTAGGTGCGTTTATAATTGCAAAGACCACTTCACATTCCCTTGACACCAGACCCAGAACAATAATTTGTGGATCACAGCAATGGAATGTTGCACTGCAGCCCGTTCAACAACCGTAGTTGTTGTTCAATAATCGTTGGTTGTTGTGCTAATCTCGTGCATTCATATATTGTAATTCACTGCCATTAAATGCCCACTGCTGAGCAAAGCCTCTTCTCACACGGAGAAGATTTGAGCATTAATCGCCACGTTTGCTCAATGCGGGTTGGCGATTTATATATCAGATATGTATCAGCACTCATATACATACCTCTATATTCCGATGATATCAAAGAACAGAAGTAAACTTTAAAAACTTATTAGTTGTGTTCTTCACACAGGGTACTCCAATGCACGCGAATCCGTATCCACGTGCATCTTTTTATCTCATTCGCTCTGAACAACATTCTCTGGATCATCTGGTATCGGGCCGTCGTGAACAGGGTTAGCGTCGTACAGGAAAATACAGTAAGTATGTCCTTCGTGTACCTAGTTATAATATTTATTTTAGGTTAGTCATTGATGGTTTTTGAATCGTGCCATACTGTGACGTCACACCTACTTGTTCCCAGTGTCATTTGTTTGTAAGGGTTTGCGAATATCAAGTTCTCTCATAAAACAAGCTTTTTAAAAATGAAAATAATGGATCTTCTAAAAATGGATTCTAAAATTGATGAATAAATAGTGAAAACATTCCATTTCAAAACAATTTTATTGGTCGTAAATTCAGCATTTGACAATACGTACAGTCAGGTGCACCCAGCCTGAACATAAAATACAACAATGCAAATATTTCGAGGGGTTTTAAAGTAATTTGGAACAATATTCATTTTAAAACGTTGTAAAATGACGTCACGCACGCCACGAATTTTGATGACTTATCAACATACAATATTTGTTCTATTGTACCATAACAATAACATTAACACTTTCATATCTTTATCAATAATGTTATGGACAGTCAACATTTATCATCCAATTTTTGTCAAAAGACGTAAATATTTGAGAAAATTGAGGAAGTATAAGCACTTTGGTTAAAAATCACCCTTCTCTTTGCATTGGATTTCCGTCTTTGGGAAAATTCGCATAAAAATTCAAATGAATTACCTATCCAAACAGAATTCCAATTTATATTTCGTTCTTTGCTCGTTTTCATAAACATTAGCTAAACAATTTCACAGTTGTTTTAACGAACGACAAAATTCTAATTGGATTTATGGAAACCGTAGCTACGACGTACCATGCTAATCAAAATATCTTTTTTGTACAATATTGTTGTCATTTGATTCAATTCTAAAAAAAAATTTCAATATTAGGTGAATGGTCCGATCCATAACCTATTGTTTTTAATGTCGTGGTCTCTCAGACTTCTGATAGAAATTAATCACTCATTCCCTTTTATTTCTATAACGTTATTTCCTAATAAGTATACCATATTATATAGAGGTAGATAGATAATACAATATATTTCCTAAACAACAAAGTTACGAAACACGAAAAGCCTTTACAAAACCGACCTGACCAAACTTTCAATCAATCTCGAAGTCCAAAACTAAACTGAACTCCATTGTATTAGGGCCGATTATCATTAATATTGTATTGCAGGAATGGTGTCAAGTCCTTCACGTCATCACGAACTACTTTATGGTGACAAGCTATCTCTGGATGTTCTGCGAGGGGCTTCATCTGCACATTGCTCTCGTTGTGGTGAGTATAAATACAGCTTAGTATAAAAACTTAAGTCCTAGTAAGTTAGTGTAAGAACAGAGTAAAAAGGACAATTTATTATGGCATAGCAAATGAAATATTGATCAAAAATATTTAGCACAAAGAGTTATTAATCGTAAAGAACCAACACCTTAGGTTTTACACCAGCACTAAATAATTACAAGTCCTATAAAATAGGCACTCTAATTAAACAGAATTTGTCAAAACACAGTTACAGACAATATCTTTGTACAACAATTAACGATGGCAGCATTGAATTCTTGTAATTAAACGCAATTTAATTATACATCGGTCTCCTCGTAGGCTTAACTGAAATGTTTCAGTAATAACTTCGTTCGGAAGGCCGTTTAATATCCCGTTCAGTAAACACTATGACTGCTGCAAACAAAATTTCAAAGTTGGTCTATGAAAATGTCACGTAGTGTGAGAATTCTCGAGAGGATCTGCAAATACGGACAATATAAATCCGGTTTGTATTTAGAAAGGACACATCAGTATCTTTATACATTTATAGACATACGTATATATTGAAGTTGGAGACGTTATTTCTTTGGGCTTTTAGTCCTGCTTGTATTTATATTAGGACTAATAAGATAATACTCTATTCGATGCACTACTTACAGTTACTTATCACTACTAGTTAGGTAAGATTTCATATTTTAAAGCTGTAAGCTTCCTATGTACAATTGTATAGGTATCATTTCTTCCCTGTTAGTCGAGTAGTATGCATTAATTACCACTCCTGCTCATACCACTAATATAGTAACAGTCGATTACACATTAGACAAAGACCGCGCACTGCTCTCTGATAAATCTAAACTTTTAAACAGCGACAAAGCGTGATAATGCGCATATAGGCCAGCAAAGGAATGTGTCACAGACTGTGTTTATATTATAACTTTATATAAATTAATTATTATGTTTTTGGCTTCCTCACGTAACTGTTTGACGAAGATCTTGACTAGTTTCAAGCCATGCTAGGCTTTTGATGATGAGATTCATGAGTAGAATTCCGGGACCCGCGACGCAGTGACTGTCGCGCTGCTATTGGCTACTCGAGTCTGCGAAACAGGCCCAACGCGCCCTCTGCTCTGATTCAGGCGCATTTTCAGGAATCTCGGGTCGACGCAAAACCAGTGTTACATACCGCGCTCATTGTGTCACACTCCAGTGGCGGCTTAAAACTAGTCAAGTTCCTCGTCAAACAGTTAGATGAGTAAGCCGAAAACATAATTATTAATGTCACTGACTGTTGATGATCAAGAAATAGTGCTTGGAACACAAAATCCAAATCCATTTTATGACATTATTTAGACTTGAATTGTTCTTTTAAAAAAGTTAAAAGCACATTTTGTCCTTAGTCTTGAATTATATTCTAAGATAAGAAAAGTCTTTAGTTCATGCTTCACTATCGTGAAAGAGCGCGGCTTTATGAAGCTTGTTTACATAATTCTTTGGCCTACTCATCAAGTAAGACCTTGACTTACATAAGGAAATGGAACATACTATAATACTGTACCATATTGTGATGAGTTCGTTGCTATGAATATGGGACCTTATAATGCCACCCTTCCTAATACTGGAGGCTGGCCAAGACCGTTATAAGTTATGGTAAAAGAACAATTCGTTGTGCGTACTTAAATCATAAATGTTGGTTTCCTTGTTGGTTGAAAGATTATACACATGTATAATAAAACCAAAACCTTCAAACTATCGAATGGTTAGAATGTTCGATTTTCTAGGTAATAACTATCCTATACTAGGATTCGACTTGCAATAAAAATGGGTGTACTATTAAATTGATAACGGTATCATAAAGATTTTTAATCTTCAAATTGCTTAGTAAGAGGCCAGCGCCTGGAATTATCACCGCTCACACTACGGCTACTCATGCTCTATTATATGGATCCCATAACATAACAGGCGCTAAGTGGTTGTCACGTTGAATGTGCACCTTTTCTGAATAGAAAGCGTGAATTTTATGACACCTAAAGTAACGCGTGTAGGGTTATTTTCGAAATACTTCACGCCACAAACTTTGTTCGACGACCCGATAGTCGCTGACGATAGTTCGAAAGTTCGAGGAAAATATTACACCACCATTTTACTCTTATTTTAATATTTCCTGTTTACGCGAAGCTTACAGATATTGCGGGCGTATGTATATACATAATATATATATGAATACGTTGTATAGCAGACTGTTTGTGACCGAACGGCTGCATTATGAAAACCTTTCTGAAAGCATTAACATTGTCGTTATATACATACATTATTTTTACATGGGCTTTATGAATATCTAAGGCATTTGGTTGCTTTAAAAGAATGTAAGTCATAGCCGTAACGTAACCATAGGTTCTAAAATATTAAGCCATTTTTTTTTAAGAAGAGTAATCTCCCAATGGCTTTTCATGCCTAGGCGAGAGGGAATGTCAGACTGTTACTTACTAAAAACTACCTCGTTCCTACTCCTGCCCTACGATATAAAGACATAGGGTACAAATTCCATTTAGGTATAAGGTGGCAAAAAGTAAAAGAATACTAAGTAGTGGGTTTCGCTCCTTGGAACCTCACACTAACAAGTACTAACATATAAACTACTATATACTCTCGATCCAAACGTGAAGAGAAAACTTTGTTTCCCTTTAAAGGATTACCCACGTGGAAGAGTGAGATTGAGCATGGATGAAGCTTATATTGAGATAGAATACTAGTGAAGTTTTCATTAAATATTAAACTTTATCTTTTATTGGTAAGATTGAATGTTCATTGTAGCAAAAACATTTTGTAGCACATTCATTTTAGCACTATCAGTAGTGACTAGTGACATCAATATAGCTTTTCCAAATTGAGCAAAAATGTGTATAATGTTTCTATGATAACGAATACAACAGATAAAGCTCGATGTTATATTTCTCAGTCTAGTATATTTTCGTATAGACCAAACAATAGATTATATTAAGAGAGGAGCTGATTTATTAAAGTATAAAACTATATTCAGGAAATTATAAATCTTAGTATGTTTATGGTGACTAGCAGTACTAAATTGCTTAACCTATTTCACAATATCATGAGGTTAAACATTTTAATAATATCCTTTGTATTTCTATATAATTAATAGCTGGCTCGGCAAACTTCGTACTGCCTAAATGGTTTCTCATCTTTTAAATGTTCCCTGGATTTCCACGGACAAAATTATCCAAAACGGTTCAGCCGTTCTCGAGTTTTAACGAGACTAACGAACAGAAATTCTTTGTTATTTATATAGGTACTGATATTATAACGTTAGTACTGAGTTGAATTTCATTCAGGAACGGCTTTGTGTGTCTGCCGCGACACGAATCTTAAGCTGTTAAAGCCCATAAACGGAAAATTACTTTTGCTATTGCTAAATAACAGAAGCAAATATTATAATTTAACATAAAACTTGAAACACGAAAGAAAAACGTATATGTACACAAGTATTTGGTGTGTTTGTTTACCATGATTTACCTGTTGTTATGAATATGTGATGCTAATGGAAGTGTGGTGCAGGTGTTCGTGAAAGATGAAGTTGCGATGCGATGGTTCGTCATCCTCGGATGGGGTGGCTCGCTGGCAATCGTGCTGGTTTACGCAGTCGTCAGATTCTTCACTCCTGGCGCTACTGAAAGGTATGTACATAATTCAGTAGGAATATTTCTTATGTTTTATTTCGTCCGCACACACCTTTTATAATTTTTTACTTTTACCTACTTTTTGCTGGACTCTTTAGGTGTTGTAGAGTGATCTTAACAATCTTTCATGTTATTACCATAAATCATGTTGAATCAGAGAGCTTTTCCACACTTTCTCCGAAACTATGCCAACCTACCTACCAAATAATAGTCGATAATATACTATGTTTACCTTATTTGCATAACATATTGTAAGATCAAGTCTTAGAGACATGATAAATATAATAATGTTTGTAACATCACATATGTACGTATGAGAAATACACAACAGAATTCTGTCAAGGTTTCACAGAGTGCTGTATATCAGATCTGTCCCCAAATGCATTACCTGCACCCCCGCTACTCTTGTTATTTAGAGCACAACTGTTTCAAATATTTAGACTGCTACTGTATTCTTTATGAATTTATGTCATCTTACAATGTACTTAGTACATACGTGTTACTCTATGGTTGGTTTTTCTGCAAGTACTTATGAGTAACTACAGCGCCTATCGTTTTAAAGTCTACGTCTTGAAAAACAGTATAGGTTATTTTCTGCAGCGACTTACCAACATCTCTTCTAATTGGACCAATCATAAATAGTGATAAAATTACAACGAATGACCAATAAAAAGTTACAATTATTTTTATCTGCATGTCTATAGGTCAACATTTTCAATAGTTATTGTCATCAAAGTCTTCTTATGAGAAAAGGCCTTAACTTAACTGTTGAACAGTTGTTTATATACTAACTTTAAATATCTATTACCGATACCTGTACTGAAATCAATATCTGGTTCCTTATGGTGCGTACGTGCGGTGGTAGGAGCCACCATTATACAGTTTATTTGTCTGTTTTCGACAGATTTCAAATTCTCTGTGATGTCACGACCAGACACATCGAAGTCCAGAATTATGTCCAATATATCGCCAATAGCCTCGGCATAATAAAGTTACTAATAAAACTAATTGCTTTAAAACGATTTGAAAATCATCAGTTAATTCTTAACTGTAGAATGAATTGACACTTGACAGTTTTTAGTATGGAGGAATTGTCAAATATTCAAAGTTATTTATCAGATAGAATTTATCTGAACCTTTGAGCCTTGAATTTAGTGATTATATTCATTATACATCGTATCCCATTTAGAAACAGAAACAGGATTTGTACCTAGTGTTGTTACCTTGCCTCTTAATAACTATAATAGCACTAACCACTTCTTTTAAAGACAATAACTAGGCCTACATCTTTAGAGAACCAAAATCAGGTTCTTGCTACAAAATTAAATAAAACCAAACTCATTGGGTAAATATCCGTAATTTCAACTAATGAGTATAGGTTGACAAAAACTAATATTAATCGAAATGATATTGCTGATAAATTACACTGAAAGTTAATAATAAACTAATTGAACGAGAATCAATAATGTTGATACAAACACACCTGCAATTTAAGCAGTTCTAGTTTAGTATTTCAGAATACTTACGAGTACAGTACGCGATTATTATTTTATACAAGACCGATATTTTGTAGATATCTCTAACGTTAAGCACTCTCTAAACGTTCAAACATGCTTTAAATTTTACATACGAAAAATCAAATCAATACATAAACTTAATCATTGCTGGTGACTGACGGCCCGTCTCTATAACCAACTACATGATACACATCTGTCGGTAGATTTATTTAAAATGTAGAATTATGATTCATTTCTTTCAAACCTATGGTGAGTAGGTTGAAACTGGCCATGAGTGATGTAGTGATTGAGTGACCGCGAGTGACTGACTGACAATGTAGGCGTACAGCTGCTGGTCGCTAAAAGCTGAAATTATGAACGTTCACCCACAATCTTAGGAGAACACTGAGAAATTATATCATGAAATACAGCTACAGGAGAAAAACCTACAGTTGACGGTATATGTATTAAATAATAAGATATTACTACTTATCTAATAACGTTAAGGTGTCCAACTTAAAGTCGAATATACTCCCTAATTGTGCTACAGAATTAACCAATAAAATAAAAAGGTTTGTGAAAATTGTGTAATGCGCACTTTTTTTAACGTTTCCTTCCCTAGAACATCCTCCTATGTCGTGGGTGCGTTTACAAACATAAAATTTCACATACACAATGGCAACTAGACGGAAAACAACATTTTGTGGATCACAGAGTTGCTGCGCGTGGGAATCAAACCAGCTACACGTTGCGGGGCAGCCGTTGGCCCAGTCACCGCGCCCACTGTACAGTCCTTCAATTTGTTTCTTGTGTACCTATATAGGTACCTTCCTATTATAATATTGTGTGCCAAATAAGTTATTGCAAATGTTTTGTGCAGAATTACGTAAGTAGATATCATGAATATTTTATCAGCAATGCGATTAACTCGACCGCTAATCAACAATCTGCACTAATACATGTTGCAAATGCGAAAGTTTTGTATGAATTTACGTTTATTTGCCCCTCAAAATAGCTGAATAGACCTATAACTACAGAATAGAGACATTCAATACGTATACAGAATAAAGTCTAAAGATACACATACTCCAGCACAGCTCCAGCTTTTTTACATTGACGTTATGAAATATGTCATATGGCATAAAATTTAATGTTTAAATTTAAATGCCAAGTTAATTGCTAGGTTGAAACCGGGTTGGAGCCGATTAAGTGTAAATATGTGGTTCGGGAAGAATATCCATGCTTACACACTTTACAGGTTTGTCGATAAATACGTTTCATATAAGTTTTGTGAATAAAAATAAGCATAAAGGAAATACTAGGAAAAAGAAAGGCATATGGTTTGAACGTCGTGAACTATTTCCCCAAAGTCTTATTTAGGTACATAGAAACTCCGTATTGTACTATAATTTGAATTTCTTGGATTCAAACCTCGCGTTTGATTGAAATTAATACTAACCAAGGAGAAATGGATGCTATCCTATACAGAAAACTCAATAATCCCAGTATTTTTTATTTTAACTTTTTTTATAATTTCACCGTTCAAACATAAAGATACATATCTACCTACTATAGGTACTGTAACGCACTCTCTGAGCTGACAGATTTATGTTCCGACAACAAAAAATGCCTGAAAAGAACGGGGATATTCTCATACATACGTAAAAAGCTGATATCTAGTAGCCTGTGTATACAATATACTATTAACTTTGAATTTATTGTACTTTAGACTACCTGTCTATTGCCTTTTTTGAGAGGGGAAAATCATCCAAAGACTTCTCCCGCCTGGGTGAGGCGGGAGGGAGTGTCAGCCTCTTACTGACTAAAAACCACCCCGTTCCTACTCCTGCCCTTCGAGCCCAAACCTTGCCAACCCGTTAAGTCTTCCGCAACTCCGTATCTGTATCAGCCCTATTGGGCCCCATCTGTGGTGGAACCTGTGTAATGCCTAAAATGTGTCAACATAAGTCTCCAAAAATGAGCCTATATCTAAACTTAACTAGTCATTTTTGCATAAATGTACTACATAATTTGAAAAGAATCATTAGCAAATAAATTAGACACATAAATAAAAAGTAACTAAACAAAAGCGATAAAAAAGTCCTTTAATTAGGCGTCAAAGTACTCGTCCGCATCACTGTCACCAGGGAACGATCCCAGAAGACTGGCAACATTCTCACGTGGAATGGCAAGCTTGTTGCAAGAAACCAAGTTACAAACGGCCCAAAACAGTGGTTGCCACTAGTTTGCATAGATTAGTTTTAAATGTCATTTTATTGGCTATGATAATGTAATAGTAATACGTATAAAGATTCATCTCTACTCCAAAAAATTCCATATAACAATCGAAGTGACTGTCTATTTATACATACAGCAGTGACACGATACAGACAATTTCCACGACTACCTGAGCTCAGTGAAGCAACAAAGTACCGAAGCCTATATCCACACGGCTGGATATTATAATTATTAATTCACAAACTACTCTGGGTAGTCAGCTGATTTTAGATAAGGGTCAAAGGTCTGAAAGCCACTTAAAGGACTAGAAATTACTATCGAAGTTTGTGTCAATGTTGACCATATTACGCAGCTAGATAAAACAGTACGTGTTTGTGTTAACCTTTTACCTTAATCTAAGTAAATCTTAGAAAAACGCTGACTAAACACAATCCTTACTTGATAGGGGGTTTGTACTTATTCGTTTCAAGTTATTTTTTTTTTTACTTATGTGTGACATCTTTAATCTACATGCGGGTCTAGTACTTGTTTGACTACCATGAACTTGATAAAATAATTGTTGTCCTCAACGACACTTGCAACTCATTTACCTATGCTCGATGCTATCTTAGGCTGAATATAGGTACGAAGGATACTATCCCTATTTCAGAAAGATCATGCATCATGTACATGATATTCTTTTTTTTTGTTTTAGTACAATTACAAGGTAGTACTTTGATTACCGAATCTAAGTGAATGTCTCGTAGTATGTTTCATAAGCTACTGATCCGAAATGAAATATTAGTCATTCGAATAATACTCGATCAAATTATACAGTCGTATCCATATCCCATGAGATTGATTACCCAGGTAGCAGATACACGAGGGGGAAATAAGGTATTAAAATTTCATTAAAACTGTGTTTGCATTTATATTATCCTGTGACCTTTGTGAACAGCTATACGGTTATGTATTTATAGACATTGCAGCTAACATAATAATTTGAACACGAGCGTGAATATGTATCTCTGATTGTGTTGTATTCTGCAATAATTATTAGATGAAGTGAACAGAATGAAATGTTATCACTGTTAGTAGGTTTAGGTATGTCATTTCATAAATGTCCAAACGTCTACGCACCAAATTGGAAATTTCCAATTTCCAAACTTCTTTATAATCCAAACTTTTAAGTGTAAAAGTTTAAATTATAAAAATTACGTACTTACTCCGCTGTAAATAATACCAACTTAGCCAAAAACAAATAAATGACATTAAATTTTTAAGCATTAAGATAACTTCAAATATCTACCTCGAGTTGTCGAGTATCTTAAATACCTGTCTTTCTAACTAATCCTACTCAAAGTTTGAAAATTAAAAATAACTTTACTTTTTTGTACCGATATTAAACTTTTTTGACGCCATAATTATAGCATCATTTTCAAATTGTCTGTGTTGGAATTACTTTCAAACAGTAGATAGTACCTACTTCATTTGTTTAGATATCAATACAGATATAAGAAGTAGTTAGTTTTTTTTTATTACACCCAAAAATACCTTAGAAAATAAGACATCAGAAAAATAAGAAATAAGGGTAAATTCAAAAGTAAACAGTTACTCGATATCACGACCGTCGAATTCTTCTTCGGTTCCTTAGTTACTTTTCCCCTTTTCTCTAATTTTAATTTTAATTTCATTTTACTATCGTTCTAAGCTTACACAATAACTTAAACATTAAGAACGTTAATAGTAATTAAATGACAACTTCATAAAAATCGAACTTATGTAAGAAACGTACTACGTATCTGTTATATGTATAGTATCATTGAAAATAACTTTTTGTGGCCCATCAGTAAATATAGAAGCTGAAAACCTTAACAACTGTATTTTCCACCGAAATACTAGGTTAGCTTTCTAGATTGCGTTAGAATCGTATTAAAACTCGCTATGGGTTCACTTCTATGACCGTGGTGGCCCGGAGGTTTAAGGCGCTGGCTTCTCATGCATAAGAATGCGGGTTCGAAACCTACCAACGGCAAGTACCAATGTCACTTTTTCCGAGTTATATGTACTTTCTGAGATTATTTAGACACCACTGACAAACGGTGAAGGAAAACATCGTGAGGAAACCTGGGCTTATAATTTCTAATTATAAGTTTGTAATCGCCAACCCGCATTGAGCAAGCGTGGTGATTAATGCTCAAACCTTCTCCGTGTGAGAAGAGGCTTTGCTCAGCAGTGGGCAAATGCCCACTATACAGCCTATAAATATAGGCTGTTGATGATGATGATGGGTTCATTACAAATGAAGCTTACGAAATATAGCAACAGACTCAATCAGCATTCTTCTAACTAATATAAGTTGTTAAACATAGATATATAGTTTGACAATAATGTGTCGTTTCTACACGAGTCATGCAATAATTAAATCCTAGAACAAGCGCGGTGGTACATAAATAATTGTATTAAATACATCGTCTTAGATGCTGAACGGTACACTGCATATAATTCCAATTACCGATGACATGCGTCCGCTGTCACTTTAACATTTATCTGCTGATCTAAAGATATCTTTACACGAGTAACATATTCTCTTGAAGCATAAATTGTTAGAGAGAACTGTATTGTATGAAATAAGATTGACATTATATGTATTTGTAATATTATTCAATATTTGCATGCCGTAGGGGAAATATTGGGAGTATTTATAAAACATGTTGTTTATTAATAGAATAATATAGGATATTACGAATTGCGGATGTTATAACAAAAGACGTAAGACATGACAATAACATTTACTATATTCAATGAAACTATAATGACATAAGAGTTCTATCATAATTATGTATATGCAAGATGAAACTATGTAATTTTTTCTGGGTATGTAGGTAATGCAATATATTATACCTACTTAACATTACCTATTACATCAAGCTAGTCACTATTTTTATGATCAAATAGATCCCTATTATGTATATAAACCCTTAGTCAAGGTGATCTTACGTTATATATTATTTTTTATTTTAGTGACATGATGATAATGAATCCAAATGGGTGAAAAGCAAGAATGGAGCGACGTCTATTCATATACAAAAAACGTGTTCGCAAATAGGATTTCTGAAATGTTAAGCATGCCTATAAATCAAACAATGGTGACAATTAATTGAATATTAAAATGTAATCTAACTCTCGGCTTTGCGTGTAGTTAGCAATGCTAATTAGAATTAAACCATTCAGGACATTTACTCTGGAAATGATCACATCAAGACATGCTCCACATCCTTTCAATCCTAGTATCTACCTTCTTAGACTTTTTCATGGAAATCTTACATTTTTGAGGCAACAAAATAACATGACAAATAATAAACCCAGATAGGTTAAGTACCTACATCATTTGTTACATTCACCCAGATGCTTTGAGGAAATAACTTAGGTAAGATGGACAATTTTAATACTTATACTTATTCAGTTACACATGCCAAAACTTGTGAATAATTCATGCACCAAGGATTCTAAAAAATGTTTTATAAAGATAATTTATTTCCTATTTCCTAGTGGAAATAAATTAAATTTCGCCGACTAAATTTCATTTATAAATAAATACTTAGTATCCTATATACTTAGTAGTAGTGTTTTATAGAAAAAAGTTGGAAATAGACAAACGCTAAATATTGTGTCTAAATCACAAACGTTACATTATTCGTCTACTGAGACGTGCTTTCTTGAAGAAGAGAACAAGAGAGATTCTATCTTTTCTAGAATAACCCAGAAGTGAAGTGACCCAAGCTATCTAAGAGCTACATTAAGTAACATTAATTTGTATATGACATAGTTTATTGGTTTTTCAACGAAAATAGTGAGTAGATATAAAAACTAACAGCCTGTATAATATCAATGAAATCCAGTCTAATGGATGTGTTAACTATTTCGTTCATAAACAGAAAATAGAACACGCTATATTCCACACTCTCACTCCTGGGAACAAGGACATCTAGTTAGAAGTCGCTCATTGTAGGTAATTGTTCGTCTTTCTCTGAGTACTTATTGGCATTTATGACTTTGCCAGTATAACTTACATTATTTTAAGTTTCAATTTTATAGCAGTAACTAAAAATAAGTCTTATCGTCATATCTCTTGTTCCCTGAATAAATAGCCTAAGATGTAGCTACTTTCATTCTAAGTCAAAGTCCAACCATTTATTTCAATTAATTAGGCACTTTTGAAACGTCAAAAATTAATTATCCAAAGTGTAGTTTCGAAGAACGACCAAAAAACATCACCGTTAATCTTTTAATTTTTTTTTTACAATCTCATCATACATTATCTGATGCTTTAACTATTGAATATACCTATGTGAGAACGATGTAACATTACTTTCACCATTATCCATTAAGCTACTATATGTATTAGAGCTAATGTAATAGGGATGAGCCTATTGTTGGCCTAATGGGTACGCCCCGTGAGCATATTGCATAGGTGATTTGTAATACCTTGGGCATAATAGTTATAATACATTAAATAAGTTATCGGATATGTCGTCTATAAAGTAGTTTTTTTTATGGGATAAGCCGGTAAACGAGTTGACGGGTCACCTGATGGTAAACAATCGGCGTAGCCCATGGACACCTGGAACACCAGAGGCGTTACAAGTGCGTTACCGGCCTTTTGGGATTAGGAATTTGAGGATTGTTGGGGATTAAGGGAGGGGGGGCTAATTAAGCATTCGGTAACCGCACTCACACGACAAAACACAACACAACGTTATTTCACGTCGGTCTTCTGTGAGGCCGGGGTATCACTCCGGTCGAGCCGGCGCATTCATGCCGAAGCATGGCTGTCCCACACTTAAAAGTTACTTAAATTACTTTTAAGACTGACGCAACACATTTAAGTCCTGCTCCATGGGTAAAGCGAATCAAACATTAACATTGGGTAGGTCCATCTATTTGTTCCAAAGGTAGGGAAGTGAGCCGTGATCCATTTCAAATTAAAATAACGGTTTGAGCAGAGGATAGCTACGTTTTAAAGCTTTTAAAGAAAATACATTTCGTGTTTCACTCTACGACCCCTTTTTTAAGGTAATTTTACTTGGATACATTTATATTTTTCGACAACGTCTTTCTATTGTATTTTTGTGTTAATTAATACATTTTGATTGTTGAAGCAACGGCAAAAGAAGGGTTAATTCAAAAGTAAACAGTTACTCGATATCACGACCGTCGAATTCTTTTTCGATAAGCCGGAATTCCTTAGCTACTTTCCCCTTTTCTCTAATTTTTATTTTTATTTCATTTTGCTATCGTTCTAAGCTTACACAATAACTTAAACATTAAGAACGTTAATAGTAATTAAATGACAACTTCATAAAAATCGAACTTATGTAAGAAACGTATTGCGTATCTGTTATATGTTACTTTTTGTGGCCCATCAGTAAATATAGAAGCAATAACCACGCAGCCCATGACAATGCTTATCCGAAATAATCGAACTTTTCAGTCACCAGAAGTAGCAAAAGCATTCAAAATAAATTACAATAGTAGAGTTGATTACGTTGCCTTTGGGCATGGTTAGATCTTTGAAGACAGTATTGTTTTATAAAAGTGGTCTTTAAGTACAAGACGTTTGAATTTAATTTACTAATTGTTAATGTAATTTCTTAGGTGCTGGATGGACCAAAGCGACACATTCTGGATTATCATCGTGCCCGTTGGACTTTCGTTAATGGCTTCATTTGGTAAGTATAATACCCATTGGATAGTCTTATAGTTTTTAAAAACAAATTCATTGATCTATTAATCAAGATAAGCTGGGCTGCTAAACTGCTATATGTTGAGTTTTCATTATTGTATAGGTCACTCAGAAGAGTACGTTGTAACACAAACATTTCTTACTGGTTTAGCTAATTATCCGTCAGAGATAAGGTCCATAGTAGCATGAACTGTACAGTCCCTAGAGTACAATAAAGTTGGTCCTATGCCTTCGGAGAATCTATCGTTTCATTTAAAACTTATTGCGCAAAGCAAGCATAATATGCCACTAGAATATAACTCGTAATACAAAACTTAATTCGTGTCTTCTAAGTTCTTCTGTACAAAAGCAGCTTATAAGTGCTTCTGTACATAATTGCGTACACACAATTGTCTAAATTACCTGAACAATGTCAGCTGTCTGGGTAATCTTACCCAAATTCAGAGGTCAAAGAATAATTTTCCTGTATCAACGTCCTCACGTGTACACGACTTTATACATCTACTAAAATTATATCGAATTGTATGAACTACTAAGTAACCAGTTATTACAAATATCGAATCAAGTATCCCTAGTAAATTGGCCAATTCGTTTATCTTCCGACATGTTTGACAAACCAATAAATTGTTCATCTATAATAGACTTGCTTAGGTTGTGTATAATAATAAAAATGTAGCAATAAGGACGTTATACTGACCAATCTCGATCATGGAACACAATCTCATAAGGATTTCCGATATGGCCGGAAGCACGCGGGGGACCAACGACTTGACCTACGTGCTTTTCGGTACAGATAGAAATACAGCATTTAGTACTTTTAGGTAAGAATCAGGAAAAGCCTACAAAGATAAAATAAAGTGGAAGTATGACAATCATATAATGAATCATTCATTTCTTTCGGCTAACGCTCATTTGATTTACATTAACAGAGTTTCTATGAAAGTGTGTCTTTCTTCTTAGTGTAGAACTAACAAAATATCGACATCTGCTATAAAATAATATGGAATTATAGTGTGTATATTATTATATTTGTAGTATCTGCTCAATTTTTAAAGTTGATTACTTTTCTTGATTTCTTATACAATATACCTCTAATATGTTTGTTATGTCCAGTTCCTGTATTGGTTTTGTAACTGTTTTGACTGCCAATTTAAAATAAATAAATCAATAATTAAATTCAGTATATTAATGTTTACAACCCTAGAGACGAGAAGTATTATGTTTGATTCGAAAGTAAACAAGAAGTAATACAAATATAATTAGTTTCGTAATCAAACGAACTAACTTTGATATTTTGTTTACGTGCCCTACAGTAGGTATATAAACAAGGGTACCTAAATAGAAACCCTATTAGTTTTTGGTTTTTCAGACTGTTATAATTGAGACTGCCTCGTTGACCGAGTGGTCGCAAGTGCGACTGTTGGGCAAGGGGTCTCGGGTTCTATTCCCGGGCTGGGCAAATACAACTGGGTTTTTTTAAAAAGTCCTAATTTTAACATGCAGTCGGAGTCGGAGTCTGGAATTGTGCCCGGTATATGGCAATAGGCTCACCCCTTATTAAATTTAACCTGTGGAATAACTTTGAATATTTGACAATTCTTCCATACTAAAAACTGTGTCGCGGAGAACCTAACGGGTTACCGGGGCTCCGGCTCGACGTGCAGGAGAAGGAACGGGGTGGGTTTTAGTCAGTAAGAGTCTGACACACAAGAATCATCGAATGATTGCTCCCGCCTGGGTGAGGCGGGAGGGAAGTCGTTCGATAATTTCCCCCCTTAAAAAAATACTAAAAACTGTCAAATGTCAATTCAATCTACAGTTAAAAACGCGTTAAATCACTAATTGGTAGCCGACAAGTTTACGTTAGCACAACAGCAATTCTTGTTATTAAAAAACAAGAAAAAAATGCAATGTTCTTGATCTCTGAATCACTACATGCCCATTCGCCTTTATAGCTTGCTTGTATTCGAATAATGTACGCGGGGCTAAATAAAAATGCCTTAGAACAAACTCATTCCCTCTTGGAAACATCCCATAAGCCATTACGATGGCTTGAAATGGCCCCGTTTTTCTTAATATCAATTAATGTGCACCAATTTACGGAAGGAACCTTAAAGTACATAGCGGTGTGTATATTACGTTTTGTTTCACTTTATTGTTTCTGCAACCTTGGGTAAAGCGGGATTATGAAATCAAGTTTTTGAATCTTTCGTCTCTGCAAGGTGAAAAGATTTTTTAATTGGTACCTACTTACTTTCTTAATTAAATTGCTCAAAGAATAATTAGTGTTTAATAATACACTTAAACAACATAATGTTATGAATAAATATACAACTTAAAATAACTAAAACAGCGAATAAAAAAGGTAAAAGAAAAAGCGAAATTCTGTCAGTTAGGCTTCAAAGAATTCGTCCGCATCATTGTCAATTGCTGAGATGGATTTTAATCTGTCAAACACCAAGCGGTCACCGGTGACCGCGACCTATTGTTCTTTAATTGTGTCTATAAAACCGGTACTCGACGAGTTAAAGTCTCAATTTTATATAGTCAGCTTTAAACATTACGCTAAATAAGAGTCTAAAAAATCTAATTCTCTGATAAAGTTTCAGCAGGATACGAAAAATATACCACAGCTTAATCAACTATTATGTTATTTTATGACCGTTGTGATCTGGGAGCGCTCTGAAATAGGACCATAGAAGACGACACCGATGCGACCATGGCGTCCCTGTTCGAATTTGAAATGCCACAGCCGGAATAGCCGTAATGGAAATCGGTTTTTGTACCTATAATCCAAAGTGACCAGAAGTACCTAGTAATATTATGATAGCTATTTTAATGTACTTACACTCCCTAGCGTTTTATTGCTAATGACTTGTTTTACATAACGCACATAGGAGATGGGTCTGTTTTACATAACATACTAAAGTTAAGCTTAACCCGTGGTATGCCGGAAAGCAGATCCACGCGAGACATCTGTTTTCTATTGTGTCTCATATATTGGCATACAAGAGGTAGATCTCATTGAAACCTAACGCTAACAAGCAAATAATAAAAAAAAAAAAATGGGTGAACCACATTTGTTCGGAAACATTTCTTGAATAATTATTATTCTCCATCAATGAAATAATAACAATAACCATAAAACCTCCAGTTTTTTCATATACGACACCATTGATGCGACTCTGACAATATAATATTACAAATTACAAATCGTGGTCACGAATAGCCTATAATCTGTCATGGTTTTACACTGTAACCCTACGATATCAAAGCTTTTCAGTAGGTACCCCATACGTTACGACACCCGACATCAAGTGTTACGAGGAAAAACGTCCAACTAAACTACTTGAAACGTTACACCGTGACCCCTTTGTACCACCTGTACGGTGAGAGTGTTAAATATTTTGCTTCTTATTCTATTTTTCGTTGATAACCGAGTTGAAAAAAGGAGATTCTATATTTGTTTGTATAATACAATCGCTACTACATGTGGACGACCTGACGACAAAAAGTATATACAATTCTCATTAAAATTTAAATTTTATCTAAGATTTTATACACATTATTTTTCCCCATCACCCACGCGTTAATATTATACACTGTGCAAATGATATGTGACACATGCTTAAAAAAAATAATAGAAAAATTTACAACTAGTTCAACAAAAGTTGATTCATCAAAAATTCGCATTTTGTTGCCAACATACATTATTATATCATAATATCCACATAATTTTGTAGGCAATTGACATTGTATTTCTGGAACGTCTCATTGCGTATGAGAAAAATAATATATTAGATGAATCTTGCCAATAAATACTGGTGTTCTACCAAGCGCCGCACAAGAACGTCTTAATTTTAAAAATTTCCGTCAGTTTTGTAAGCAGGTAAAACCGGGTTAAAAATACAAACATCCGAGTTATATCTCAACGGACAGAATTTTCCTCAAGTCAAGTAAAAACAAAAAAAACAAGAGAAGAAAGCTTCACAAACAACCCGACCCTATTATTTGCTTTGGATAATTACAATCTTTATCTTAATTGGGGACAAGTAAATACCTAATTTATTGCGCACATACGTTTGTCATTGTATTCAAGATAAAGTTATTTGATGACGATCCTAGAAAATTTGGAATTAACCACGCCATAAAGAACTTAAACGATAGGCGGATTTTACATTGCCGCTTCGTTGACAGTTTTTTGTTTCTTAGCAAGATACAATCATTCGTCATTTGTACCTGTCGTTGTGAAGAATGCAAACATTCGTCAAATGACGCAACGTGGACAGCAGTTAATTCCTAATTATCTTAGGGTCGTTTTATCAATCATCAGTTAATTTTTAACTGTAGAATAAAATTTACAGTTGTCAGTTTTTATTATGGAAGAACTAACAAATATTTAAACTTATTCATTTGATAACATTTAACTAGCGTTGGAAAAATCAGCCCTTAGTAATAAATTGTCCTAGTTATTCAGAAAACTGTTACCATTTCAACGCCTAATTAACATTAGACAAAACCTAATTTAAATGGATCTATCCATCTCGTCTACGAGATAAGTAAATTTTATCCGCAAGTTAACTACTTTATAAATATGTAGATACCTAATTGACAGATTTATTAGTTACATACTTTCATTTTCACTCTATTCGGTGACGGTTTATTGTGTAGGAAAGGTCCTTTTCCTAAATGAATGAGACATTCTCGAAAGTATCAGGTTATAGTTTTTGGTTTTTCGCTTGACATTGATAAATCATAGTAAGAACAATTACTTTGAAACTGAACCCATCACATATTTCGGTCGCTGACACCCATTGTCCTAGATATAGAATACGAAGATGCGGTAAAACTAAAATACGAAAAACTTGTACCCGTTCTTTCAAGTACCTAAGTACTTTGCTCGATCATTTAGAAAGGTTCCAATGGTAAGTTTTGGACAAACGAGATTCTCTGAGTTAAATCTTTATTTCTCTTCACTATTGTGTAGTTGTTATGGGTAAAATATGTTTGGAAAATCAATGTACGAACGAAAATATCGTAACCAAAAATATTTTTAATAATAACTAAGATTGAATTGTGACACATAAGCATACTATATAACATCAACGCATGCTGAATTTCAGCATAACATATTATGCAAACATTAAGTATCTATTCTACATTGAATCCATTAACATTCACTCATCAATCCAGACGACCTTCACTCTCCATTTGCTTTTATTTTACAAACTTTAATAATATTGACACATTAGCTACTAGAGAGCTTCGTGGTAATTATACAGACCTAGGTTTCGGTCATAGGTACCCACTGGTTAATATTTACCTGAAATTTTTCAGGATAGAGCCTATTTGAATCAATGTTAGAAAGAGGAGACTTTATTGTTTGTTTGCTTTGAATAACCTCCGAAAGCACAGGACAGGATTGAATTTTTATTACGAGTTTCAGTCATTAGTAGTCTATTTGTAACTTAAGTAAAGGTAACATTTACAACGTCATACTACCACCGAAAAAAAGTGGAGACAATAACTTAGAAAATATAAAGATGTACTCTTTAGCAATCGAGTTTGATACAAGTAGACCGAAAGACATAATTAGTGTTAGTATGAAGTACACCCTACCAAAAATGTTCTTACAGTAATTAGTAGGGTTTGACATTGTTTTCACTTGCAGTATTTCTGGTGAACGTGGTACGTGTGCTCGTGACGAAGCTGCACCCAGCACCGACTCAGCACGCATCTGTAGCTGCCAGGAAGGCTGCACGAGCTGCTCTCATACTGGTAAGTAGTAAGAAACTACAGGGAAACACACAGACGAAATCAATGACGAAACAAACTTACTATTGGCAACCAATACTGCCTGAACATAAATCAATCGATAAATGCTTTGACCGGGTCCAGCACTATGAAAGCTAACGTATCTTGAAGACGTATATAATATCGGTGATTATACTTCACTAAGATATTTTTCCTTCTAGAACGCCATGAATACAGGTGAAAGTAAATTAGATCAACAAATTATAATTTGTAATGAGAGGCAATAGCTACCTAACAAAATGAATATAATAAAGGTCTGAAATCTATTGTTTTTCTACATAATTCACTAGAATAAGATATCCATCAGGCAAAAGAAAAACAAACGTTGTTATTCTTTAAAATTATATTATAATTTTAAGGCTAGGCTATCTTTATCTTTACTGCTTTTGATGAACTAACGACCAAAATGAGTGACTAACCTCATTAAAAAATTTTGGATCGAGATCGAACATCAGTTGCATGCACAACTAATCAAATACAAATATAAATCCACAGGTGTTGGATTAAATAATGAATCTGTTATTAAATTGACCAATAAGACTCGCTGCAAGTAACTTAGAAAAGCATCGTATCAAAGCAACGTTTTAGCGTATATCACAAAAAGTAAGAAACCAAAAAAGAAAAAAAGACGATAGAAGTACAGCATACAATACACATCTTTGTATTACGTTTCACTCTTGAACTTTTGACAAATATTTAATATTCAATTCGCGTAGAAACTAGATTTTATTTTTGTTACATTTTTACGATAACGAAATCTAGAAAGACTTTATCTTATCTAACTTAGAAGTAGTACTTACAATCGTTTATGACTGAGACTTAAGACTGGTTCAGGTGTAGTCAAAATGAATGAAGTTGTTTTGATCGACGCGTCGCCTTCTTGTGATCGCGAGCACTGCAACTTGAATTTCTTACAATAACACATCCACATTGATGTTTATTGTTTTTGTATAGTTGCTAAAACAAAGTTCAGTTTACCTATTTGTAGTTGATTAATCTGATCTATTACCTTTTGTCTTTAATGTCAGAATCACAAGATACACACTGTAAGCAAGAAAGAGTTTCTTTAAATGTTCGATGTAACTACATCTGAACATGATCGTGTAGCGTAGCTCAATAAAAAGTAAGGTCAATGTGGATGCACCATTAAAATAACAACAGAGTTTTCTTTCGTGAGAGAGAGATTAGATTAGTACGCATTTGTAATTCATGAAGCACCTCCACTGCGCAGTCACCTTTTTTCTGCGAAGGTAAATAAGTTTTTACGCAAAGTACAATTTGTATTTTGGAATTACCATGAGCAATTGCCGTGTTACGTGATTTTGCTTGTATATTTTTAAACAGCGACACAGATTTTCTTGGAGACACTTCTAGCGATCGTTCCATAATCTTATTTATTCCTTATATGTGTAAAGCGAAAATAGCTTCGGCGAACTTTGTTCTCAAAACGATTTACTGCTAGCGAGTTATGAGTTGACTTTATTTTTAAACTTTAGATAAGAACGTCTGGGACCCAAACGAGAATGCTGTGCTGTTACTGGTTCAAATGCATCTCGTTACCTTAAATTAGTTTGTGGTGCATTGTCTGGAATATGTGTTTTTGCATATATAACATTAGACTCGAATATTCAATCTGGTTAAAGTGATGGTTATGGGAAGCATATAAGCTATAAAGTGGAAAACTAGTATATTAATTGTTCCATTTAACTTACATTATCACAGCCTCCAACGACCTCCACCTATTACATATGGAAGATCATACTTGTCCCACAAGCAACCTCACCCAAACCATTTCATGTTTACTGCGTAAATCTAAATTCTTGATCCTACTCTCAAGTTGTCGTCTCAGGTGAACACGTCAGGGCACACGTTAGTGCGTCTGATATGTTAATGTGTTTGTCCACAGGTACCACTCTTCGGTCTGCACTTTGTACTACTCCCGTTTCGGCCATTGCCTGACTCGCCATGGGAAAAGGCTTACCAGATATTTTCGGCGCTTCTCACTAGTTTACAGGTCAGATTTATTATATTTTGAAAATATGAGATTTTGCCTTTGATTTATGAGTTCTCCTTTTAAGGTATTTTTTTTTAAATTCGGGTAATAATGAGCCAATGTTTGTGTCCAGGGTCTGTGCGTGGCGATACTGTTCTGCTTCACCAACCACGACGTCGTGGTCGCCACTAAGACATATCTATCACGCTTTCGCACACAAAACGAGGGCATTCCTATGACTGGTAACACTTACCCATTAGCTGGGTCGGTTTTTTTTACTAATTTCATTAGAATTAAGATAAAATTGATAAGTTACTCCAAGCGGTGCTCGATCTCAGCGTCGCGCTTCGTTTGAAACAATGGTAACAAAAATTCAGAAAATAATTCCACCTCAAAATTCACTTTGCTACTAATTGCATACTAGTAATCACCAATTCGACCTGGCACTTGAAAATAACTCGTCATCTGAAGCTTGACTAACTAACTAACGCTGAGCTCGTTCGTCCAGATGCTACTCATACTTAGTGGCTTACTTTGACTTAAGAAATTTAAACTAAAACCTTCTGAGAGACTCCCAGTGAGCAGTAAGCATGCGCACGTGTCGGTCTGTTATCAGAACTCTATGATGAAGTCAATAAACGACTTTCAACTGTTTGTTCACGAACAGATTACGCATGTAATAAAATAATCGCCTTATCAATGATTGAGTATTTCAGATAGCGAGTGAGCTGCTAATTGTGATCTTATCTGGCATTGCCATTCATTTAGAACCCGATTTAACATACTGTATATTTGACATAGATCTAAATATACGTTAAAGTACTTACTTCACAGAACCAAAAATAATTTAATAATTTACGTATTTATTTTAAGAGTAGGCAAGTATATAATACAATAATTTAATAAGCATGCCAAAGGAAAATTGTCTCTATTTACAAAGAAATAACGCAGAATTTGCATGTTTCAGGTGTAACCGGGGCTGAAAGCTTAGTGAACACAAGAGACCAGGCTGTATGACCCTACGTATATAATCATTTAGCTCGTACACACTTATTTAATATTAGGATTAAGTGACAATGATATGATTCTAAGAATGACGAAGCATAATTGAAATAATTGAAAAAAAAAGTGAACCTCGGATCCAAACCGACAACCTATAAAACTCAATAAACGGACACTGAATATTGTTATTGCTGCATTTTATTTAACCTTGGCTTTAATTGAAAAAAGGACTTAATATCTTTATGCGTCATAAACAGGGATTGGAGTTACGGGGAAAACAGTTCAATTAAGTTAGGCAAAAGAAAACGACACATTTTCCTCAAGCTACCCTATTATGAAAACACACTTTTTAAATGTATCCATTGGGGCCCTGCAATTTAAAAATAAACCAGTCATTAATTAAAATATTAAATTCTTTTAAATATTCAGAATTAATGTAGCCTTTATAGCACAATAAAGCTAGAATACTATGGCAATAAACCTGAGATTTATACTTTCCAAAACCAAGGGAACAGCCCTACATAAATCACATAGGCTAATGCCGATCCTTGCTCATAAAATATTTAACATTTATAAAGGAAAAAACATGCAAATATTAAGTAGGTAGAGAAAGGAATATTGCCTCAACGTATTAACTAGGTCAATTCTATCTTGTTAATATTTCTCGAACTGGGGCTGTGGAGTTCAATAAACATAAGTGTTGTTCCCCTAATATTTCTGCTCTTACTAAAACAATATAGAAGTAATTGACGCCTAGAACATTTTGGCGGCAATACATGTAGATATTGTATGTTCTACGTAATAACCTTGACAGGAACACATTTACCTGCCATATAATCCGTACTAATATTATGAAGCTGCGTTTGTTTATTTGACTTTCTCTCGCGTCAAAACACAGCGGCGAATTAACAATAATGAAGATAATAGGGCAATGCCGTGGGCAAAAAAAACAACAAGTCAACCAATCTACTATGTCTATTTGTAATCAAACTTCTCGTAGAGTTAAAGAAATTTTATACAAAATTAAACAACTCTAAATAAATAATATAATTTACATACTTAGATACTAATTAAAGTTCATTTATTATGCGTAGGTACGTCCTATCAGTCGCAAAAATAGAGTTTTACTATATTTTGTACGAGGTAGGAATACATTGAAATTAATTACTTAATCTAAAAAATGCAAAAGGACGCGATTTAATGGGGCCAACGACCCGACAAGAAGGTAAGAAAATATCACAAGTGTTTGTACCGGCAACAGACTGACTAGTTCAACGAAGGAGATCTAACATCCACTCTGTGATAGCAACAGGTAAACGAAACATGGGATAAAGTTATAGAAACAAAACAACTATCGCATATAGTAGGTCAAGGGGTCACATGTCATGTTTATAATTCCCTGTATCAGGGGAGACCTCTTTGCAACGTCACTTGGCTACTGAGAATGTCGATAACCAAATACCATTATCAATAATGTTTTACCCCACCCGGAAATGAAATTTGAAACCCTCTAGCTAACTTTATTCATATTTTCATTCCTCACAACAATTTTAAGCACAGGTGCTTAAACAAGCTGTAAGTATATCCACGTCGTTCAACCAGTCACCCTGTATATTTAAAAAATATCAAAATCGTAATCAGCTGCATATAATCAGATCCTAGCTTACCTTTTGTAATCGCTTATTACCTATACTCAGACATATAATTCTATTCTGTTAACTGACATTACTTATTTTTACATAGAAATAAAACAAGCAGGTTCGACTCATAAACGATTGAACAGAAATGAATGATTTTAAATTCAGACGTTATATTCTAACATGGTTATCATTTATCAATTGACAATACCAATTAACTACATTTAGAGCAGCCCCTAAAATCATGTATCAGGTCATCTGTCCAACTTAAGGATGGACGTCTACGCTGCACTTCTCGGAGTGATTACTTTCTTACCAATTTCTTTTATTAATAAATATTTTATTATGATATAACAAAGAGTCATTTCTTTGCCTTAAATAAAGAAATTGTCACTTTACTGAATCGAATTAAAAGCCCGAGTATACTCTCTTTGTCATTCCAGTAACGAGTTATGTATTACACTAAGGCCTCGATATAGCTCAAATGATCCCAATCTACTGAAATTCATTAAATTACATAAAGTTATTTCTTTACCCAATATGCGTTTAAAACATTTCAAGATTTACATGTGCTAGTACACAACAGTGTTCAACACAGACAAATTTTCTTTAAATCACCAACATATTAAATACTGCCTTAAGCAGCTACAATTACTCATAGTAATGACTTAGTATTTCAACATGTTGTGGGTATCATTAACTAAAGTGATCCATCTGAACGTACACTAAGCCAAAGAGAATTAATAACCTCTAATGATTACTAACTCCGTTATCTTAATCCAATGAAATTGCTAACAAATTACTCAACATGTTTCAATGCCTCGGTCTAAAATTATTCCCATTTCTACAAGAATAGCGAAGGTAATGAAGATAGCGTAGAGAACTAAGAGGATAGCACCAAGGCTTCTTCTGAGCGTGAATTTGCCAATGTATAGGGTGATCCACAAACAGGCGACGGCTACAAGCAGAGAGCCCACCACGAAGTCAATACCAGCTGAGTCAATGAGCACGGCCTGTTGGTCGGCGCCCTCCGCGACCAAGGACAGGGTCTTGATGAGCCATGGCAGACCCAACGCGAACAAAATTGCCAAGGAGTTAGCTCCCAGAGCATTCGAGACACCAATACCTCCTTCACCTGTAACAATATGATAGTGCAAATTAAATATATTTAATCAGTGAACTGCGTGTAGACATATCAGGAATTATAGCCACGATAACGACACAGATATTAATCTAAAATTACACTATTTTTATTTAATTCCTGATATTTTTAACGAGAGATAAGCCAGCTATTCGCATATGGTCGCTTAGTATTAAACATTTAACTTCACATTCTGCCAGTTCTTTAGTTAAAGGCATTCGCTAGAGAACTTTTAGGTTTTTGCAAGAATATTACGAATTTAGCAATGCGGATGCTCTCTTATCTATTATCTTTATATCTTAATATTAATATCGAGATCAAGTCGAAAATCCGAACGTAGTAGATAAAAGAATAAATTTTATTATTTCCTCAATTTTTCCACACATAAATTATAATCGATCGATAATATTATAGTCGATTGTGTAAAATCTTATCACGTAACGAGAAGTTCTATAATGATCACAAAATGATTATTATTCAACTAATTATAAGTACCTAATATATGGAGTATTTATGCTGATATAGACCTGCGTACTATACAAATTATTTTTGCTAATTAGCCCGTAATTATGTACTCCTTATCTTACTAATCTATGTCTTCCGAAATAGATAGATACTTTTAAATAAATATAATATTGCGCAAAGTGTTTTAAGCTTGTTATTCTCCCTACATCTTATAATCCAATGGACAAAACGCATAGCTTTACCATCATAAAATAAAATTCATGAAACATAAAAACTTGGTATTGAATTAAGGTAATGCAAATAAAGAAAATCAACACATCTTAACAAATCTATGAAAATTAAATGTTTGACAATTGGCATTATACATTCGCATCGCGACTAAACTTATTCGCAGACCATAAAAGTATTAGATAAGTATAATACAATAATACATTCAGCAATTGAAATTAATAACGAATCTTAATTATCAATCCCTGGATCAAAATCCAGTTTGGTAACTAGTTTTCGTCTGAAGAGATTTATCTTTAGGTTATTGATAGTCATTGATACATACCTCGTCTGGACATGATGAATACGGAGCAGGCTTCGGGAAGACATCCACCAAATGCCAGGAAAGTCATTCCCATCACTGATTCAGGAATGTAGAAAGTATGACCTGAAAATTAAAGGTACAGTTCTTAAAAGTTCTTATTCAAATGAATTAACGTGAAATAAATACTATCAAGGTAGGTAGATCCAGTAAGGGTACTAGTACTTGGTAAAGATACATAATTGAGGTATATGGGCAATATAGAGGTAAATATTCATATTGTTTTTAAGGGAAATTAACGACTGTCATCTCTATTTCTTAAGACTATGAGATTCATAGACCGACATCAAGTCGAACTGAACATTGAATTGAAATGAATGTCAATCTTAGTGAGTTCGGTAATTGTAATATCGTCGTGAGTAACCCATCATCAAAGATAGCTAAAATACTGTACAGATTAGTTAACTTAGCTATTAAGCGTAGATTTTTATTTGTTAAGTCCATCCTCGTGAGGATTGTCATTTTTGATAAAACCCTTCATAGTTAAAATAAAAGAAATAAAGCTAAAGCTAAGGGTTGAAAGGTACTAAAAATTAATTTATAGATAGTCGTGAACTGAAAATAAACTTTCTATTCAAAAATATGTGTCGGGAGTTTTAAGGAAAAAACATAAATAATAAACAACTTGTAAACAGTAATTCGTAGAAGCAAGGTAATGTTAATTACAATTATCATAATTACGACGTTACTGTTATAATTTATCGTCTTCAATCAATAATTTGTAATTCAATTGCAAATTTTCTTGATTTAATTTATTTTCCCTTTGTATGACAATTCCTGAGAGGTAATCGTGACCTTGTAGTCTGTTCATCAACACGAACAGTCATTTATTTGCTAGTGAGATTTAATCCTAAAAACTAAAGAATTTAGGTATATTTTATAAGCAAACTTATCAAACACGAGCATTACGCATGTAAACGTGTGATGCGTCTATTTTTTACCCATTTTGTTTATTAGCTCCAACCAAAAACCCTTGATGGCAGGAAACACTTAATGATGATGATATTATTAATTTTATCTTTGTAAATGACAGGATACTGTACTTATTTCTAATAAGAAACCTATGTTATTTTCATATTTCACCAAATTAAAAATAATATTAGCGGCGTATCAGGTATTTTTCAGCCTCCTTACGAAATAATATAAGTCCAGCGTCTAATAAAAACCGGGTGTATTTCACTCC